AATTATCTACACACACTTACAGGACCGCGGATAACCGACTAGTACCTTATGCTACTAAGGTCGGATAGACCTAAATGACTGACGTATCAAGTACAATCACATATTTATATGGAATTACTTCTAATCACTTGGCTAGATCAAGTGTTGACATAAATAAGCATTGATGTAATAATGTACAATATAAGAAATAAAACAATGGTAAATAAAACAATTAATAGATTAATCATACGATTGGCATGTTCACCAGGCAGGCCATATTGTCAGTTACTTTCTATCTATAACAGTTTTATAAACAATAAGGGATTATAATAAATTAACATGTCATTAGGATTACATAACATTTCACCCTTGGCTAGTCACCTTTTAATAGCACACATACAATTAATGTTTTAAAGGAATAGAAAAGTTATTGTCCCGAGAGTTTAAATAAATTCAATCTGAAGGCTTTCACTTTTAAAATTAATAATGCATTATCTTAAATATTCAAGATTTAAATTATACTATAACCTGCACGGTTATATCATTTCATTTCATCAAAGTATATCGGGAATTTTCTGGCGGGGTTTACCCTTGTCAGTGGTGAAGGAAGGACGGGATAAAAAAACCCTAAGGTCCAGTGTCCGGATTCGAAATGAAGTGGGAGCTTCGGTGGCTCAGTGGGTAGGACGTTTGATCTCTTCATCGCAGTTCATTGTGAATTTTCTGGCGGGGTTTACACTTGGCAGTGGTGAAGGATGGAAGACCTGACAAGGTACAGCATGTCGTCCGGATGGCATTAAAAACCGAGGTCCGGTGTGGCATGCTGCTGACGTTGTAGTGTGAATGATTCAACCAGGTAAGGGGGGTGCATTTTATAGGGCTGGTCCCGGTGAACAGCACGTGCAGCATGAGTAACATGAAAATCATGGAGAACACACAACCATCTCAGAAGTCAGGTTGAGTTTTTGAGAAACTTCCTGGGTTCAGTTCTGTGTTTGGGGAGGAGCCTTATGCTCATGTAAAGTTGGCAATGTGGTCACAAATATACAATAAAAACATTTGGCAAGTTTTATGCAATGCGTATATTCAGAGTAACATACCAACCCGGCGTTTCTTTTGCTGCTTAGTATATTAGACAATTTCTTGCACGAGACCATTAAACAACTTAAAATACAGACACTATCAAGCACGTGCATTGCAATGAAATGCGTCACGCGGGTCCAATATTCCAACTAGTATAAATAATATACGCTTTCCACATTGCCCGTACCATTTTGAAATAATAGTACGGCAACACCAAAGGATGACATCACATCTGTATTTTAAAAAGTAATGATATATGTCCTCTTGAAGCGGCCAACATCACTAGCCTAAGTCCTCTTAAATTGGCCAACATCACTAGCCTAAGTCCTTTTAAATCGGCCAACATCATGAGCCTAAGTCCTCTTGAAACGGCCAACATCACTAGCCTAAGTCCTCTTAAAGCGGGCAACATAACTAGCCTAAGTTCTCTTGAAGCGGCCAACATCTGTATTTTAAATAGCAATGATATATGTTCTCTTGAAGCGGCCAACATCACTACTAGCCTAAGTCCTCTTAAAGCGGCCAACATCACTAGCCTAAGTCCTCTTGAAGCGACCAACATACTAGCCCTATTGAAGCTGCCAACATCACTAGCCCTAGAAATGGTTCCACTACTGATGTCTTCCGGCTTACTCCAGCCACAGTAGTTGCTCGTCCTACGGAGTTCCTTTGCGCAAGTTTTTTAGTCAAATGACTACAAAAAGGTTACTGGCCTATAGCTCCCTTAATTTACACATAAACTGGCCCAAAACTGTACTGCACATAGCTTAACATAACATACAACAATTCCAATTGAAATAAAGGTGATGCCTTACAGCATAATTATATGATATGAAACCCAACTGCTACACAGGAGCCATGGTGGCTAGGTGGTTATATAAGACGCTGGCTCGCTAGCCTGGAGGTCGGCTGTTCGATCCCTGCATTGGCCGAAAAAGTTCATCTGGATTTGACTCTGACACAGTGAATAGCCATGATATCCATATGACGTTATCTAAACGTCACAGGTCATGAGGTCACATCAACAAAACAAATGTAAACACCATCATTATGATCATTATCAACATTACAAGACACAATGTTACATTGTGAACAATAGCCTTCTTACATTAGGACTGTATAATCCGTACAGAACGTCTTATCGCTTCTTCCAATGATTTTTCACAAAATTAACATCATCTACAACTCTAGATTTGACGTCGGCATATTGGCACTATTTTGTGCTTCGGTCGTGTCTATTTCAGATATACACAATCAATTCTGTTAATGTTTTTAGCGTGGGGATCGACTAAAAGTTAATTTATTTCAGTTCTAAACAAAAATTTAAAACTTTAACGCAATTTTAAAAAAAGAGCCAAATTTTGGCTGGGATTACTGAGCAAAATGGCCATTCACTTTATACGTGCGAAAAAAAAAAGCCAACTACCATTTAATTTCCGTACGTTAGTTACGTACGGGTGTTCCTCAAGGCTCCATTCTTGGACCTCTACTATCTAACCTGTTTATTAATGACCTTCCTCTAAATTTGACAGCTCAATGTGATCTTTTTGCTTATGATACCACAGTATATTCTTCTACCAATTTTGATTCTCTTAACTCTACACTTCAGTCAGAAACTGATAAAATTATACAATGGTGCAACTCCAATCACATGATAATCAATGAATCTAAAACTAAATGTATGATTATTGCTTCAAAACCTAAAACAAATTCCTTATCTTCACATTTGTCCATTTCTATTAATTCTACCTTCATTGAACATGTTTCCGACTTTAAACTCTTAGGAGTATATTTTGACTCTAATCTTTCTTGGGACACTCATGTAAACCATTTATGTACTATTTTAAAACAGAAAAACTTTCAACTTACGAAAATCAAATCATTACTTCCAACTGATGTATTAAAATTATTTTATAACGCTCACTTTCAATCACATCTTGACTACTGCTCTACCATTTGGGACTCCTGTCAAATTTCTTCTCTTCATAAACTTAAAATTATCCAAAAATCATCATTTAAAATTATATTCAACAAACCTATTATTAAAAATAATTCTTCTGATTCTTCATATTCCATTCTTTCAAAATCTTTAAAACTGCCTACCATTCAACAACGTCATTTAATGAATAAATATATATTTCTGTTCAAAATATTAAACTATAAAAGTCCAAATTACTTGTGTTCCTTATTTCAATTTAAAAATACTACTTACAACTCTAAAAATCTTAAATTACAAATTCCACATCCAAATTGTACTAAATTTAAACATAGTCTTAGTTATAATGGACCAGTTTTATGGAATTTAATTCAAAATAATTTAAACTCATTACATGTTCTCTCAACTTTTAAAAAATCACTGCATAATTATATCCAAAATGTTATATAACTATTCTGAATATTTAAATTCAAACCATTATCGGTTTCTGCATTTGATGTTATTTGGAATGTAAAGGATACATTTTCATTATTCAGTTTCCTTGTATGTATAATATATGTGTATGTTTGTTTTGTCTATTGTCATTTAAGGGCAGAATTGTAAACAGGCTGCAAAGCCTAATTTTTCACCCTTTTGAAAATAAAGAATTTATTATTATTATTATTATTATTATTATTACCTTAGCTGCCAATCTCGTTACAAACACAAAATGTGTATCAAACTGTTCCCTTGGACCTCCAGGATCAACACCAAACCTTCTGAGTGGTCAAACTTTGGGCATTACAACAATATTTGGGGAGAAAATCTCTAGGGTTTTTTTTTTTCGACCGTTTCTTTTCAATATTTTTTTGTTCTTTTAAAAATAGTGTACGTTTTTAAGATATCATTTTTGTGTATATTGAAAAATATTAAATTATAGTATTAAATTAATTTGTTAAAATTATTTATTGATTTTGTAATAAGTATTGTGGCACTACTACACGCAAAAATAAAATCTACAAGATAAACCTGCGGACAAGACAGAAAATAGACATTGTACCAAATAAAAAAATAGACAAAGAGGTTGTCTGATTGTGATCGAAGGGTTTTGCAAGGTTTGTTGGTGTTGAGAAGGTCTCCAAGGTATTCAGTTGAAGATTCGTCATTTAGAGCAGAATATACGTAATAGACAGTATTTTAAATTTAATACGTTATTGACGGACGTTGTGGGATGAACTGACCCGCACCCATTTATATTTGATTTACTTTTTTTTAATATGGTACCCCTCCCCTCCATATAAGACCTACCTAAACGTGAAGTATTATTTGGTATATTATGTATAGAGTAAATACATCAATAACAGATGGGGTGATTTGGACGTTAGAAACGTTTTGACAATTTTAAAAAGTTACGGACAGTGTTAAAAATCAACTGATTTTGATTAACTGAGAGGACAATCTGATCATTTAATAAAATACCAATATCTTGAAATTTCTGCTTGAGTAAACGAATAGTTTGTCCTCGGACATCCGAATGCAGGGAGCATTCTAATATATAATGGTAACAATCTTCAAAATGGTGACCACACGCGCAGTCGGGGCTCTCCGTTAATGTCTCAAAAACTTATGACCATTTAAATCGTATGTTTACTTTAGATACCTCGACCCCCGTCTTTCTTAGTGATGCGGGATGGAGGGTACGAGTTTTAAAATATAATGCCAAATCTGGTTTTACCTGACTGAGAAGTCACGTACGTACGTCACGTCACGCCCATTCCAGGGGGCACCTGGTATAACCTACATACATGATGATCGGAAGGGTGCTATTTAGATTTTAACTTATTAAAAAATGTCATTAAGAATTATTTGCTTCTTTAGATTTATTACTCATTGCCAATGTCACCTCCATATGTAGTGGTGAGCGTTCAATATACGAAAAGTTAGCAAAATGTTAAATTTGGTGGTCTGCATCCAACTGGTTTTGGGAAGTCAGATAAGGGGAAGCCACTCTTACAGTATTACTCTCTAGTCAAAATAGGTACATTTGGTTCTTCAAAAACAAAGATGGTGGAAAAATTAAGGAAATTCTGAGTAAACTTTGTTTTTCTAGAATTTTATGTTAAACTAGGTAATTAATTACATAGATTTTTACGTAGACGTAATATCTAACTATTTAATATATTGAAAAACGTCGTATATTGAAATAATATGCATTTCAAGCAAGTCAAAATTGAGTTATTGACAGTGTGAGTGTCAATATATTGTATATAATAATGATAATACTATAAAGTGCCTGCGACTGCGTATGCCAATAATATAGCCGTCGCGTCAGAATTTTGTTCGAACAAGCCAAGACGGAATCAGGAGCTCGAATTAGTAAGTCTTTTCGAGGCTAACATACATATGGTTCAATTTTATTTCAATTATTAATTAGATGTGCAATAGAGTGCCCGCATGAGAAACAACATATGAAAACCACACCACTTGCCCCAATAACAGACCTTGTGATATATAGCACATGTACATGCATTACAGTACACCATTCGGCCATCAAACCCCCTCTTGAAAATAGAATGTGATGTAAATCCAACCTTTTAACTATTGCAGTGAATCACCCTGATAATCCGATCCAGTCTCTATATAGTTCCTTCATTGATACTGGTACAAGAAACTGGACTCATAAATGGCAGTTACGTATCAAACTCAATAGTCAACCAATTTGGGCACTCACAAAAAAATAAATATTTAGACCATTCATATTTCATTGTTGCGCATACATGTCACAAATTTAATCATTTTAACCTGCGTCGGTGTATTATATTGTGCTACATTAAATATAATTGTTTGATATCTTATGATGTGACTTGTATAATGAGAAAAGGAGTATATTATTTGATCAATTGAAAAACTATCATAACCTAAATCAAACAACACTGCGTTCGGGTGATCAGGCACTAACAATAATTTAGACTTTAGTTAAGCAGACACAGAAATACGTGGAAAACACAGAGTGATTTAAATCATGATGTACTATAGAGTCAACGTTCCAAAGTAAAAGTTTGGTGCTAAGACCACCTAAAGATACATTTTAAATGTTCCTATTATTAATTAGAACAGGTTTTCGCTTTAATTTTTATATTTTATGCTGACATTTATTGCTTTATATTAGGCCGAATTCTCGGGGTGAAAATCTTGTCACCTTCACTCCCGTTAAACCGGTCTACAAATCGGATTAACAATAATCGTGCAATCAATATGTCACCAAAGTTCTCCAATAAAATTTGTCAATTTAATAGTTCAAGCTCGAAATAGGCTAGAAATCGATGACTTATTTCTTTATAGTGCGGATCCATATTTGCGTAGATATGAGTTGGATCCTGCGCAGCTATTTAAAATTTGGCCAATCAGCGATCGCGCTTGCGATAAAAAATTCTGGGGTCAAGTACCAGGTCATAGCATTTGTAAACAAAGCCATGTGTACCATTTACCTTGCAAATTGCTCACGGTCGGGACGAACAGAGATCAAATGAACCAAAAAAAAGTCCCATCCGTGTAGAGAAGTGGTGTATGAGAGTCACAAAATGTATTTTGATCACACTGACATAAAATGTGGCAGTCAGTCGTGTTTTTTCAACACTGATTAAGGATATTGGACCGGTCCATTTCACTAGAAAAATGCCTTAATATCAAGGGAGATTACAGAGAATACAACAAGGTCAATGCTTCCATAAGTGTAATTCTAATAAAATCATTCATTTTACATAACAACATACTTAAAACCTGTCTAGCCTACTGTCTTAAACATACACTATGCAAGAGCTAAATCTGCCTATTGCAGGTCTTTCTTTAGGCCTGAAATGTTTTCTAAAGTATTAATTAGACATTAATTAACTGATCAAGGCCTTAATCAACTCTCGATGGCATCAGATTTCTCCGATATTAAATAGATTAGAATGGTTCAGCGATACTTTGATTTAATCAAATATGGAGGCAAGGGCGGATTGGTGCCAAGAACCGGCCCGGGCTCATGTGTCGGAGCGGCCCCTTTTACTGACCGCGGAGCCCGGACAGAGGGTCCGGGGGCTCTCCCCCTGGAAAATTGTGAAAAATAAACCCCAAATATGCGATTTGGTGGCACATCTGATTATAATCTCTGTCAAATAATATATCTCGTAAATCGATTAATTTAAGCCAAAACCCCGACCTGCAAGTAATTTACAACCATCAACCTGTGAAATTATCATATCTTCAGATTATGCAGGATTCCAAATCCCGGCCCACACCCAGCACACCAGGCCCAGAAAGTCCATTCCAGACTCCAGTGATGGCGTGGCGGCCCGTTAAAGCCACCGGCCACATACAACATGATCATCATCGCTCCACGGCCGGTCCAATACCCCCCACCCCACCCCATATAATGTGCAGCAGAAAAAGGTTTTCTAGCTCAGAATTGTCATCGAAAAGCCCATATGGACGTAATAAAATTTTGCATCTACAATGTATAAGCTTACAATAGATATATGAATTCAAATAACACTTGACTGTAATTAAAAGCTGTCAAATTTCATTCTCATATAGAAAAATGGTTTTGTCTGCAATTGTGAATGAACCAGATGGCACCCCTCCCCCCATCAATATGGGGCTCACCTACGACATAGTGTACATGTAATCATCGATAAAAGTGCCAAACACACTTTCAATGTTCGAATCTTGCTTCTGATTAATAAATATTCTGATTTCTTTAAACAATTATAACAGATACTGTACATGTAGTCGATCAAATCCAAAGCTAATTGATTTAAAAAATATTTTTGATCACCTAAGATAAATAAAATACAATTTAATGGAGGATTTACAGTAAGAGTAAGACACTAACTCATTTAGTAGTTAGAATAAGGCTCACGGTATTTGTTTCACTGGACTTATCAAAACAGCAAAAGTGTTGTTGGTGCTTTAAATAAAATAATAAAAATGCTGTTTTTATTTCGCACTGGACTAAATTGTCCCTCTTTTATGTGGCCCCCGCTCAAAAATACTTGGATTTTTTTCTTGCAAATTATACAGATCTCTGATAAAACTGACTTCTTTAACTCTGATGAAGTAGTAACAAGTACTGCACCATGATGTGATTCCTTTGGTGAGATTAATGAAGGAGTAGGGGTGAATGAGACACACTTTTAGTTTTTAAAGTTGTTGAAGTACTAGGCCTAGTAGTAGGGGTTATGGACATAAAGGCCCTAAACCAAAATGGCTCAAGTTTTTGGTCATAACAGTCAAACATTTTGGTCGTAACTGCATAACGGCCAAAACATTAGGGTCATAATGGCCAAAAAGAACATTTGAATTTTGATATATTATGTATCAAATGATATTTATTAATATAAATATTGCCTTATATAAATACCAATATTTCTTAATAGATAACATTTTCATATACATTTATTTAATACATAAATTTAAATACACTGTAGACATTTGTACTTAATACACCGTATAACTATAACATACATAATTTACAAAGACATCTATTTAATATGGAGGGTGGGTGGCGAATGGTTTAACATGTACTGGTACACATGAAATCATAAGGTCTGTCATTGTGTCAAGTGACGTGGTTTCAATTTTCCGCTTGTACGTGACAAGCACTAGGGTCACTTGTTCAACCTTGTGGGTTTTCTCTGAGTCCCCCAGTTTCCTCCCTCTGCTACAGACCCTTAAACACAAGCGAATTATTTAAATTAAAAGGAACCATATGTTGGACCCCAAAATGACCTACTTTGTGTCACCTGGACATTAATGCTCAGCTAATGCTACTTTATCAGTGGGGTGTTAAGGACTTAATTAGGGATTATCAAAAACTTTGATTAATTAGTATTCCCCTTTTTCCTTGAATCACAGCATGCAATGTTCTGGGTTGACTTGGATGGTTATATTCAATTCTTTCATTCACAAATTTTTCTGGACTTACGGTCTGTAGCCTATATATGATGCACCTTTATTACATTTATTTATTACTTCTACTAGTTGGAATAGAAGTGGTCATATCTTGTTGAAGGTTTTGTGAAACCGTTTTTATACGCCCACATTTAAATTTGGTCGTATATTGTCGTCGCCCCCGTCCGTCCGTCGGGCGTCCACAATTGCTTGTGGACGCTCTAGAGGCTAAAGTTAATATCCGATTGACTTTAAATTTATACACAGTGTTTAAGGTCTTGAGACGAAGGATCCTATTGATTTTTAGCAATTTCCGATAATTAATGCCAGAGTTATGGCCCTTGATCACTTTGAAAAATCTTGTGGATGCTCTAGCTAGAGGCCAAAGTAATTACTGCCAGAGTTATGGCCCTTGATCACTTCAAAAAATCTTGTGGCCGCTCTAGAGGCCCAAGTTAATATCAATTGATCTTAAATTCATACACAGTGTTTAAGGTCATGAGACAAAGAAGCCTATTGATTTTCAGCGATTTCCGATAATTACTGCCAGAGTTATGGTCCTCGATCACTTCAAAAAATCTTGTGGACGTTCTAGAGGCCAAAGTTAATATTTGATTGACTTTAAATTCATACACAGTGTTTAAGGTCATGAGACGAAGAAGCCGATTGATTTTTAGCAATTTCCGATAATTAATGCCAGAGTTATGGCCCTTGATCACTTTGAAAAATCTTGTGGATGCTCTAGCTAGAGGCCAAAGTAAATATCCGATTGACTTTAAAGGCCAAAGTTAATATCCGATTGACTTTAAATTTATACACAGTGTTTAAGGACTTGAGACGGATAAGCCTATTGATTTTCAGCGATTTCCGATAATTACTGCCAGAGTTATGGTCCTTGATCACTTTGAAAAATCTTGTGGAAGCTCTAGAGGCCAAAGTTAATATCTGATTGACTTAAAATTTATACACAGTGTTTAATGTCATGAGACGAAGAAGCCTGTTGATTTTCAGCGATTTCCGATAATTAATGCCAGAGTTATGGCCCTTGATCATTTTGAAAAATCTTGTGGACACTCTAAAGGCAAAAGTTAATATCCGATTGACTTTAAATTTATACACAGTGTTTAAGGTCATGAGACAAAGAATCCTATTGATTTTCAGAGATTTCCGATAATTACTGCCAGAGTTATGGCCCTTAATCACTTTGAAAAATCTTGTGGACGCTCTAGAGGTCAAAGTTAATATCCAATTGACTTTAAATTTATACACAGTCTTTAAGGTCATGAGACGAAGAATCCTATCGATTTTCATCGATTTCCGATAATTACTGCCAGACTTATGGCCCTTAATCAATTTGAAAAATCTTGTGGACGCTCTAGAGGTCAAAGTTAATATCCGATTCACTTTAAATTATACACAGTGTTTAAGGTCATGAGACGAAGAAGCCTATTGATTTTCAGCGATTTCCAATAATTACTGCCAGACTTATTGGCCTTAATCACTTTGAAAAATCTTGTGGACGATCTAGAGGTCAAAGTTAATATCCGATTGACTTTAAATTTATACACAGTGTTTAAGGTCATGAGACGAAGAAATCTTTTGATTTTCAGCGATTTCCAATAATTACTGCCAGAGTTATGGCCATCGATCACTTTGAAAAACCTTGTGGACGCTCTAGAGGCCAAAATTAATATCCGATTGACTTTAAATTTATACACAGTGTTTAAGGTCATGCGATGAAGAAGCCGATTGATTTTAAGCGATTTCCTATAATTACTGCCAGAGTTTTGGTCCTTGATTCAAAAAATCTTGTGGACGCTCTAGAGGCCAAAGTTAATATCCGATTGACCTAAAATTTATACACAGTGTTTAAGGTCATGAGACGAAGAATCCTATTGATTTTCAACGATTTCCGATAATTACTGCCAAAGTTATGGCCCTTGATCACTTTGCAAAAACTTGTGATGCTCTAAAGGCTAAAGTTATTATCCAATTGACTTCAGATTGATACACAGAGTTTAAGATCTTGAGACAAACATGTATATTGGTTTTCAATGAATTTTTATGACTTGGAACAGCTAAATCCATGATATTAAAAGTTTTGTATACAAAACGTTAGCATTGGACAGAACTTTATAAAAACCAAACAAATTCTAATAGTTTTCTGAGTTGTTGCTCTTAACAAGATTTTAGTGTATTATAAATGTTTCATTACCGAAAAAAGTAAAAATATGCGACAACTCTTGTTGACTGCCCGGACGATTTAGCTGCTGTGGGCATATGTTTCGTTGCCTGGCAACCTATCTTTAAAATATTATGTTATGAGTGAATTGTTATTTTTGTCGAATGATTAATATACTAATAGTGAGTTGTTAAATAATGTTTGGTAAAATATATTATGACCACATCACAGTAATAGTCTGTATCAGGGGCGTGCTGGCAGGGAGTTTAGGAGGACGGTGTCCTCCCAGGCCCCCATTAAACAATAAGTCCACCCGTATAAGCGGGCCCCCCCTGAGAGCTCTAATTTTCACGCAGAATCCCCTCAAAAAATTGAGAGTGCGCACGCGAAAAATCATACATACACAACGATTAGTAAAATATATTATGCTGACGTGCAAATGTCTGTCACCTTAAGGTGAAATGGTCTTTGATACATGTATTCATGCCTCGATATGTATAAGATGCAATTTATTATTTGGATAGAAATACATTGTATTAGCATTATATAAAGCAGACCTGTCATGAGTGTCTTGTGTAGTACAGTAGTATGTCTTATAGTCACAATAGCAGCATAAATTTGGAAAATATGATATCTAGATTACTCCCATAAGTGCTTGCAAAACGCGTTTCCCGTTGTCAAATTTCAAAAATTTTAAAGGGGGGAGAACCCCCACAGACCCCCCTACCAGCGACGCGCCTTCGGTGCGCGGGGGGCGACTTCGGCGGCTGACAGGCCCATTCGGGGCCAGCACGCCCCTGGTCTGTAATGTGGTGACAGTTTTAGTTTCGGTTGGACTGACTGAATGTAGACGCTGCCTTCTCACTCTCTTTCTTTCTCGCATCTTTGAACTGTTTTGTTCTTAAAACATTTATAAAACGTTGGGTGAAATCCAAAACTACTGCCGACTGTATCTTCAATATAATATCCTTCGTAATAAATCCAATTGTATCGAAAAATGCTGCAATGGATTGGTATTGAAACCAGTCTATAGCTACCTCACGACATTTGTCCCAACTTGTGTTTGTAAAGGGTTTTGCACCTCCCTTATTAACACTGTCTAAGTGAACAATACAAGTTAACTGAGCCTTTGTCACCATTTCGTGTAGCTTCTACAATCTACATGTAGAACTGCAATATGTTCCTCGTGAAGCACGCCATTTTGTGTTTACCAACAACACACACGAATGTAGACAATAATGTGATTGGTCAATTGTGGAAAAAAGATCACGTGACGCGGTGAACAACGCTGAATTCTGTCCAGTGACCTCGCGCACTATGAATTTTACTATCAATAAATAGTCCAGATTTCAAAGAAGAATATCACCGAAAAACTATGAAATTTTTGGGAGAAAATTACAACAAACGAATATCTCTATATGAACTATACACTGACAAAATTTCTTCTAGACCGGATTTGTAGGAATGAAAATATTTTTGCAACGACAATTTGTGCCCATGGAATGCGGCCTATATCTTCTTACTGCTAAAACAGAAAATTTCACCTTTTGACCTCCAGGGTCACAAAGAAAAAAGGTGAATTTAGCAAGTTTACATTTTTATTATACGCCTACGTATATTATCGTTGCCCCCGTGAGTCAGGTCAAAATTATTATTTGATTTCAACGAAACTTGAAATATAGGTTTATCTCCCTAAGATCATGATTTCTTTCGATATTAATCAGCCTCACTGTTGGCTTAATTAGCTTGTTCTCTATCCATCTCTTGCAAAATGTGGGCGTATCCTGTCTGGCAGCTGCTGGTTGAAAGGGTGATTACTTTCGATCATTTTCAGCTTATTTCCATGATACAAGAATAGGTGTCCATTCACTTTCAGTGCAAATGAACTCATTTGACCTTTGACCCCGAATATCTTGAAAATGCCCCAACGGCGGACTGATTACCGCTCGGCATCGTATTCTACGCGAAATTTTACTACAGAAAAGTTTTGTGCCAATTTGATGCACACACCTCTGCACTGAGCCTCCAGACTACTATAGTTTATAGAATGGAAAAACATGCTACTGGGCTACTGCCCCCACCTCCAAAATTTTTAAAAAGAAATTGATTTAATATTTGAAGACTTTCATATATTTCACTGTTGTAAGGTATGTAATCCCGAGGTCAGTTTCAACTACAATCACCTGGTGAACAGCATCCATTGCTCTAGTTTTATATTAAACATTTCAGTATCATTGGACAGACAACATGAACAGTAAAACTGACAGTAAGAAACGAGGAATTGGTTTTGGTGGATTTGCTATTAAAAAGAAAGAAGAACCACAACAATTGGCACCATCCACTAATTTCAGTTCTCTCTCTGGAATGGGAGGATCAAAGGCCAACAGACTGAATCCAGGTCGAAGTCTGAGTTATTCTCTAAATATTGGAAAGAAACGAGTGAAATGTGAAGATGAGTATGTACCTTTGTACATTCCTACTATATATTTATATATATTTTAATTTGTTTAGTGGTTGTATATTGTCGTCGTCCCCCATCAGACCGGCGTCTCTTAGAGACTATATATATACACAGTGTTTAAGATCATGCAACGAAGGACCCTAGCCATTTTCAACAATGTGGCTCTTGCTCACATTGAAATAAATTGTGGACGCTAAAGAGGCTACAGTTAATATCCGATTGGCTTTAAATTTATACACAGTGGTTAAGGTCATGAGATGAAGAATCCCATTTATTTTCAATGATTTCTGATAATTACTGCCAGAGTTATGGCCCTTGATCAATTTGAAATATCTTGTGGATGCTCTAGAGGCTAAAGTTAATATAAATTGTTCAAGGTCATGAGACAAACAATCGAAAGAAATTCTAATGATTTCTTTTAATTACTCAATGGGTTATTACTGGTTATAAGATGTTCATATGTTGTAAATGTTCTCCTTATTCATAAAATAAACAATATGCGACAAACCTTGAAGAAACAATATGTGACAAAGCCTTTTAGACTGCCTGGATGAATAGCTGCTGTGGGCGTATGTTTTTATTCTTGAGTTGAGGGGTGTGTTCAAGTTTTATTTGCCAAAATTATCTAGTGTGTGTTGAGTTGATGTTAAACTCCATCTGTTTGGCATGCTGTCACCAGCAGACATTCTAATTCCTCGAATAATGATGTCTCATCTAGGAATTGTTTTGTTTTTTTTTTAGATGAAATGAAATGAAATGGGGTTTAACGTCCTACTGTTCTGCTTCTATGCTGGGCTAATGAAGACGGGCATACACCATGCAATGTGCTATGAGCGAAATTTTGCCCGGGCAGCGGCACTATCGCCTACTCTTATTTTTTTTAGATTGATTTGTAATATAGCAATAAGTATCTTAGGACTCAATGTAATGAAATATAAAATATTTTGTTTGTTAATCCCAAAATGGTTTAAAGTTATTCACTGGGAATACAAGTAACTGATTAATTAGGTTAAATGTTTGAAATGTTAGTAGGTGTTTTCCATAAGTATGGAATATCTAGGAGAACCTATGTTATTCTAACGTACTCTTTATTCTAGTTATTTTGATGATGAGGATGAAGACGGTCCACCAGTTGCTCATGATGATGATTCAGGTGAAGAATTTACACCAGCAGGAATGGACGGAACGAAAAATGATGACAGCGATAGCGATGATCCGTTAGATGCCTTTATGGAAGGAGTTGAGGTGAGTCTGAAGTTTAATATGATTTTATTGTTTTATTACCTGCTAAAATATTTCCAGACCAGGCTATTAGATGTTTATTTTTATTATTACAGAAAGAATTAACAGAAGCTGAAAGACAGGCTTTTGAAGAAGATATAAAAGAAGAAAAAGAAAAGTAAATTAATTATCAGTCATCATCAGATCCACTTCATGTTTTCTTTAATCTCATATTTAAAAGAGAAATGGTTCAATATGCTGGTTAATTCTGCGCACCATAACAGGGACGTACTGCATACTGTATACTACAACTCCTTTTACAACATCTCAAATACATTGTTGGACTGCTGATTAGATCAGGTTCCAAACCTGGCTGTGATGTGCTTTCTAGTCGATCGGAACCTGGCTATAAAGTCAGATGTCCACTCTTGTATAAATTGGCTACAATTTGGGTTGGAAAGCTACTGCTTGTGTTTCCCTGCACACTTGATCATAAAAAATAACCTTATTACTATGAAGATTGACATCTATAACTTGTTTGTCTTATATACCTTCTTTATTTAGAGGGGTACGGAATGATATTGATGATGAAGACGTTCAGGAAGCCTACTTTCGCTTTATGGAAGAGAATCCGAACGTTGGAGTGATACAAGATGATGATGATGACTATGATTATGATAGTGATGGAAATGTTATTCCACGTGAACGATCCAAGGTAGAATAGTTTACAATTATATTAGCTAAGTCTCGAGATAATCTCTTGAAAGAGAGAAATGTTGAAATACATTATAATATTTGTATAATATTTGTATAATATTTGTATAATATTTGTGTTTACAGATAATTGATCCATTACCACCCATAGATCATTCTGAATATTCTTACCAACCGTTTGAAAGAAATTTCTACAATGAACATCAGGAGATTAAGGCTTTAACCAATGAACAGGTCAATGAATTACGCAATAAACTCTCAATCAAGGTAAATCTTTTATTTTATTGACCATCTCTACCTTACAACCCAGTCACAGAAAGTTTTTGTAGTAGGATCCGAACTCCACATAGCAAAAAGCTAATAAACTTACAATCCACATTAAAACATTTAACATTTTGTTATTATTTTCCTTTTTTACTAGACACAGAAATATATTGGGGAAATTTGCATTGTTATGTAGGGTATTCTATTTACCATTACATGTGGGGGAGAACATGACATTCAATCAACAGGTTGAAGGACACGTCACTGTAACCCAGGTATTATTTCTTTCACAATCATTTAATATCAAATCTTTGTTTTAATTCGTAAAAATCATTTCAAATCACCAAAACTCATCTAATTTGTACTTGTGTCTAGTTTAAAGCTGACCATTCAATTTTGATAATAAGTGTTCCATTTACAAGCTTTTAATTTTTCGATCACTGTTAAAAAATAAACAATCTAATTGATTATTGATGTTAAAGGATTAATTTTTGAACAGTGGTCAGGAAATTATGCATGATTTTAAATGATTTTTACAAATTTTTAAACAAAGATTTGATATTAAACAAATGTGAAAGAAACCAGTGCTAGATACCCTGGTTACAGTGACAGGTGACAGAAAGGTGTCATGTGTACAGTTTGGGGTGCTGTGCCTGTAAGATGAAGAGTTTGTAGAAACACTGCTGTTAGAAGACAATTTGTCTTATAGCACACTGCATGGTGTATGCACTTCTTCTTTAGACAGTAGCTGTCCCACTGGACGTGCTCAATTTCGAGTCTCAAGCATTCTGATGGAATTCTGTCCTATCACAGTTCTGTTGGTCCTGAAAATAGAGGCCATGATGTAATCAACTGTTACAGCTGTAGGTCAAGATTATATATTATTCAATTACCCAACTGTCACCTTTCTGTGGATTGCAGAATTCAATTCCAGAATGTTCAACCAAGTAATATCTGAGTTTTACAGTACTGGTACTATCCTTTATGTAAAGCTGAAAGAGTAGAAAGAATTACCTATAATGTTGCCATGACGATGACTTTGACATGAATTATTTCAGGTGTCAGGATTAGAACCATCGAAACCTGTCTGTAGTTTTGGACATTTTGGATTTGATGAATTGTTACTGGCTGCTATACGTAAATCTGAATATACAAAACCCACACCTATACAAGCTCAGGCGATTCCTGTTGCATTAAGTGGCAGAGATATAATCGGTATCGCTAAAACAGGAAGTGGTAAAACTGCTGCATTTTTGTGGCCAATGTTGATTCATATTATGGACCAGAAAGAACTGGAACCAGGTGAAGGTCCGATTGGGTTAATACTGGCTCCAACTAGAGAACTTTCCCAACAGGTAAATAACAAGATATTGGGTTATTTGAAAACTAGGTTAAAACGAGGATTGATTGTATCTTCAGGTTAATACACCACATCTTCAGGAACACCTTATTTCTTCTTGAAACAAATCTTATTTAAAAACGAAGAGTAGTTGATTGTGCTATTAACTGTTATTATTGAGTCAAGATCTAGTCTTTATCATCATGTTATATTTTCTAGATATATCAAGAAGCAAAGAAGTTTGGTAAAATCTATAATATTAATGTAGTCTGTGCTTATGGTGGCGGAAGTATGTGGGAGCAGACGAAGGCATGTCAGGAAGGAGCAGAAATAATTGTAGCCACTCCAGTAAGAGATAAATTGTTTTTATTAAACATTAGTGGTTGCCTAGTAACACATTATTTAATCAACTATCATATTGTAATGTATTTATTTAGGGGTTTTCTGGTAACCCAAACTATAAGATTGATATGTATTTATTTAGGGCCGATTGATTGATCTAATTAAGAAGAAATCTACTAATTTAGAGAGAGTTACCTACCTTGTATTTGACGAAGCAGATCGAATGTTTGATATGGGTTTTGGTATGTTTTATTTCTTTTTTGTTGTACAAAATCAACGAAACCTTATACCTGAGTACAGGAGGTCCACATTACACGCAAACAAAAGCCATAATACAACCTGCTGTCACGATATAAACCTGGGAAACAATGGAAGAAAGAGAAAAAAGGGGGGGATATTTGTAAAATATTATATATATTAATACTGTATTTTAAACCATTGATTACAGAACCACAAGTACGATCTATAGCTAATCATGTTAGACCTACTAGACAAAGTAAGTAGAAATAACTTTCATTTCTCATCACATTCTTTATGTTCCAATTACAGCTTACTGTCTGTTCCAGCTGATACTCCGACTCGAAAATTGCTTGCCATTTTTTTTATTAAAATGTCTAAAACTTTGTGACATAACTGGAATTTTCACCCCTTTGATTTCTTCCCTTAGCCTAAATGACTAAAAGTCTGATAAAATCCAGTATTCTCTTGTAAATTTCATATATTTCTACATTGTCACTTTCTCAGAACATAAACATTACGACTAGGCATGCGTTAAATGGAACACTTGCATACCTTATTAGGGTAGACAAGTGCTATACAAATTGTTTGCATTCGTTTAGAAATGTCTAGAAAAGGAGAATTCGTCCGATTGTTTCGCGACAATAATACTTATTAGGGTTTCACACTGTGAAGCTTGTGTGAAACAATATTGATTTCGTTCAGGTTAATATGTTTTTTTCTGTTTCCTCCTTTTTTTTTTTTTTTTTTTATAAGCAATATTTTTATTCAGATTTCTATCTGAATAGGGATTGGGGAACAGGCATAGCCTATATTAAACCCTTCTCCCTGTCAGACATAGATACATGTATTTACATAAAGAAACATACAATGTACAAGTGCAGTTATTTTACAGTGAGTGTGTTATAGTTGTCTCTGGAATGGATTTACAATGAATGGTTTGGGACGTATTGAAAAAATAACAAACAACAAGCAAAGCTATAAACAGGAAAACACACATACACATAAAAATTTGATGATGTACATTGGTAATGATTTAAATCATTTTGATATGTTAAATAGTACTTATATGCATATTTACAAAAATATTGGTTATCACATCTATATACATATTTACAAATAAAAGATCGATAATCACGGTATAGCATTGATGCGGCGCTGTGCGTGGATTGGTACAAAGTAAATTAATCCCATAAAATAACAAGGACTGATACCAATTAAATTAAATTAAATTAAAAAAAAAACAAAAAAAACCCCAAAAAGCCCCCCTCCCCCAAAAAAACCACAGATAAGGAGAAATAACAAATAATAAAACAGCAAATGTTGATGTTGTGCGAATGGAAGAGTCACGTGATTTTTCTTTGATTGGCACGTTGAGCTCGACAAGGGAAGAGAGCATGGTGTTTACAGCACAATACAGTTTAGAAAATAACGGCCAATTTAGGTGGTGAGTAAATTCACATTTAGTTTGGTTTGATAAACAGTTTTAATTTGAGTTGTGCAGTTTGTTGATACAAGCCCATAACCGTTAATTACTCAACAAGGCAAAAGTTTCCAACATTGTTTATAATATATAAAATTTTAATACTAACACTAGTAGTAACATAACAATCGTTCATTCATAGACTACCTAGTAGGCCTATAGCTACCTGCTTACAGTTAATCGTACGTGGACAATGTGCATATTTAGGAGAGTTGGCACAGTTACAAAGCTTGATACCAATTACCATTATTAACGATGACGTGCAAGGGCTATTTAGGAGTATTTTGCAATTTCGCAGCATACTGTCATTTCATTATTTATAATTTGGTGTTCTGTTTTCTAATATTTCTGACTTGTCACTTCAAGTTCAACAGATTTGTGTTATTACTTAGTAATTCTTATTTCAGGTAAAAATGATACTGTTATTGTTGAGAGAAACTAGGTAAGTTTGGGATTACCATATGCTTCAATTTTATTTACATAGTTCCCTAGCATTGACAGTTCAGGGCTACTGCTTCTTGAAAATATAACCAAAGATAAAATTCAAATCTTAGTAAATACTAGGCAATAAAATCGATCTAATTATCCAATCATATTACTAAAACTTAGATTCCGTCCTAATCAAAGTTTCGTGAAGCAGGCCTCTGTTTAGGTCAATGTTTAAAGTTGAGTATTGACACTCTTCAAAGAAAACAATTTGCACTATGACGGATGGGGTTATTGGTAATTTTACTGCATAAAAGCCTTTAGGCCTACAGTGTTATTTAACCATTAACTAACATTGGGGTTATAGTAATAGCAAAATTAATCAATTCAAAAGTTTTACAATCTCAATAATTGTTGGGTTTTTTGGGGTTTTTTTTTTTAGATGAGTAAACTGCAGACAGTTAATGCACATGCATAGCACAGGGGCTAATAAGGGTAAGTATTTTACATATTAAACTATCTTGATATTTAAAGATTCATATTATAATAATTGAGAATTTGAGTTGTCAGTTATAAATATAGATAAAAACTAAACAATATAAAGGAAGTATGCTCTACTCGGAACTAAGCAATTAGCGATTGGATTCTACTTGTCTGGTTTCTAATCAGTTTCATCTAACTTAAAACAGTATGTATTATTATAATCTTACTCTTAACATAACATGCATAGCAGTTAATAACACTGGCAGTAAACCTGTAAACATCATATACAGCATCATATACATGTACTCCCAGCTTATTATCAGTCTTTTACAATACAAATGACAACTCTAAATAGTGTAGTATTATGATTTCTGATTTACTATAGTCAGTTGATTTACAAACTTTGCAATAAGCTACTAAAGATGATTAACTACTTGATTTTATGTTTTGCACTATTTTGCAGGAGATTCAGAGAACATTTCAGACCAGCTTTATACAGACAGGCTAATTTACAAACAAATATATAATATGGGTAAAGTCTATAGGTGTATATATTTGGTTATGCAAGTTTGTTATTGAATTCCAATTACTTATTACAAGAACTATAATGTTTGTTGGCTATAAAATTCAATCTTAAGTAAGCTTAATAAAGATATCATAATCATAAAAATTAATATAGCTAATACATATAATAATATATATAAGTAATATTAAAAATTCAATGGGATATTGATGGTGCATTAAAGAGAGTTGTTTCCCTTTAATATCAATGTGCAAAATTCACAGATATATAAGTTTATAAATTCATTTTTAGATCTTTCATGCAAATTTGACAGGCAAAACATTTTGGAAATTTATATTCTAAAGGGTAGACACTTATGAATTATTGTTGGTTATTGAGGGGACAGGGTTATCTTCACAGGTATTGATATTAACAATGATGTACAGATTTTCTATGTTACACTATATTTCAGCGGATGGAGAGTTGGTCTGAGCTTGCAGTGAACTGGTTAGATTGTAATTAATTAGTTCTTCACTTGTTGGTTTATAACCGGGCACTTCAACCGGGCTTGTTAGTTTACGAGTCGGGCCATTCTTTCCTGGAACAGTACTGTTTTCACGTATGAATATTTTACCGTCTCTGGTCCAGCAGGCAGCAATAAAACCCTGTTTGTATGACCAGCGTGTAATACTTGCTACGTATGCTCTGTATCTAGTCAGGTCTTCATTTATATATACGCCTTTTATTGCTGTTTGAGCCATTTTCCTGTTCTTCATAATATGTACTTTTGTTTTGTAGCTTTTAAGTCTTACAATTATTTGGCGATGCTTGTTGTCTTGTTTTCTACCTAGACGATGACAGTTTTCGATGTTGTTTTGACTTAGGGAGTTATCAATAGTGGTGAGAACTTTCATGATTTTACCTTCAACATTTTCATTTAAATCTTCTTTAATTCCGCTTATGCGTATGCAGTTTTTTCGACTATATTGTTCGAGCTCGTCACACTTGTCTTGTACAGATGCATTGAGATGGAGGGATATTGTGGCTAACTGTAATTTTAGGGACTCGATTTCATTTTGGAGAGGAGCAATTTGTTTTGTAATCTCTTCTTGGACCATCTGTTCTATGAAAGGCCTGATAGCATCCTTAACTTGCCTGCTGTGAAAAGATAGGGCAATTTGATGAGTGAGTGCCTCTACGGTTTTATCAAAAATGGAATCTTCCTGTTCAGAAAAAGTGTTTATAGGGTGTGTTTTTGCAGTTTTTTCGTCAGTTACTGAAGTAGATGTGTCGATTTCTTTAAGATTTGTCTGCTCTTTGTCAATAGTACCAGAGAAGTTATTAAAGTCAGAGTTGGTTAGGTCAGCTTGTAACGAAATGTCAGACAAAGTATCATCTTCGTATTCAGATGTAGGTCTATATGTTTTATCAACATCATTTCCGGATTGGGTAAACATTGATTTTATATTGGTTTGTTTAGTTCTTTTCAGGACAGAATCGGACAAACTTGATGCTAATAATATTTCACGTTGCATGTCTATTGGTGAGATAGTGTTTGGTCTTTTCCTGCTTGGTGTCGGTGTTGCTGGGGACGCCATTGAAAATGTAAACAAAACCAGGGGATAATAAATCAATCGCAAAAAACTCACTGTTTTTGTTGTTTTTACTGATTATAAGTTGATTAGTTTATAGTATAATCCAATCACGTATCACTTTAAACTTTCGTGTAGATTCTTTAAAAGAGTTTCTTCATGAACAAGCAATAATCCACGCAGCGAAATTTACCGTGTCTTAGCGTGACGCCATCTTTATTGCTCCCCATCTTTATTGTATCCTCCTTGCTTATTTCGCAGAAAAATGCTTATTGCATCACTTGATTAAAGTATTTTGAAAAGTTGGCACATGTCAGAACGGTGCAAACTCTCCGAAATACGTAATTTAGTATGAAAGGTTAGGCCTTATTTAAATTTGAATAAATGTTTGGGTAAAATGATTCAAATTTTGTTTTTTAAGACTTTATAGTTCTGTTTAAGAGAAAATAGTCTGGTGGCTGAAGGGGGGAATCGCCACCCGAGCTGTGGATTTATGAGACCAGGTGATCAGGCTTTTGAGGGGGCGTTTTCGAGATATGGAGGGTCCAATGTCTACAATTGGGGGAAAATGTGGTTATGTTGACATATTAATGATGATCATGTTATATAATTATTGATAAAACATAAATTTCCAGGACTGCCCATCTCTAAATCGGTGTTTATAATACCCCTGGGCAACTGTTTTGATTTGTGGTGAGGTGGGGTGGGTGGTTGCAGGTGTGCGTGTGTGTATGGAGGGGTGTGGGGGGGTAAAATTGGCGTGAAATGAGTTCACATCGATTTAAATGATGATTTTCTTAGAGCTTGATGAAACATCTCTAAATATGTTTATAATATTCCCGTTGTGTGGGGATGGACGGCGGAGTGGGTGCCCGTGGTGGTGGGCGGGTTATGGAGAGGGGGGGGTAACATGTGTTTTTGTGGACAAATATCATTTGGTTCAAAATTGACCTTAAGAGCCATTCCACGAGAAAACCATGCAGAAGGTTCCAAGGTGGGGGTCGGTCGATTGAGTTCATATTTACAGGGTTTGGTTGACCCATCGAGCCTACTCCCCAGCCAAAATCATCGATTTTAGAAATTAACCATTTCTGAGATACAGCCCGATTACGTTTTTCGACTGATTTTCGTCAGTTTCATGTCAAATTTCGACCATTTTTGTAGCATTACTATAGCTGTAAATCGACGAATGGCGAACTAAGTTGTCAACTAACCCTCAACAGCACGAAAATTTGTGTCGGAAGTTATGAAATTCGTCACTTTTCGTGTTGAATTTCAGTTTCTTAAGTGTAGGGATTTCGCCCGTATATTCCGGACATGTCCTACGCTATTTTCCAAATGTTCGGCCAGGAATATGCCCAATCGGACATCAAGATATGATGAATAATATTCAGAATTGCAAAATTAATATAGTAAACTGAGTGTATAACTGCCACTCATCCCGATAACTGTTGATGATAGGCTGGATTGATTAGGTAATTAGGTGATCAACGTATTTATCGTATTATACTGTCTATACACCTATGTTGTTTACCTGCTTAATCTGCCTTGCTTGACTGACTTATTACTTTGTCGGGAAATTCATCAATCTAATCTTGAACAGAAGTCATTGCTTCTCTTTTGTCGGACTTTTCATCAAACCAATAATGAGTATCAACCTTATTTACGTGATTACCTCGGTGGTTTCTCCATTGTCGGAAAATTTAATCTCATAGATATCAACCGACAGTATAAACGACAGTATAATTTTGGGGGAATATTACTGCGTGAATTTGATTGAAACAGGCGCGGATCTGCAAATTTCATTCTATCGTATTACGAAAACACGTAATTTTGTAGGAATATTACTGACATAAATTTGAATACCATACGGGAATTAAATATGAATAAGCGGTTGCCATGCAAGTTACAACCACATTTTGCAAAAGATGGACAGAGAACAAGCTAAATACAACCAGGGGCCATCATCCAGTATGTTACAGCCCGACATGCGACGATATCAAAAGGAACCAAGATCTTTGGAATATAAAAGTATATAATATAAAAGTTTCATCAAGTTGTATAAAAATTGTGACATTAAGAGGGACTACAAGATCAAAACGTGTTTTTTTGTATATTCAGGGATCATAATTCAGGAAGCTACAATGTGATATGCGCGAATATCGAAAGGAACCGAGATCTTTGGGATATTAACATACATTTTAAGTTTCATCACAATCGGATAAAAATTGTGTTTCTAGAGTGTCCACAATCTTGGAATTACATACTTTTACACTATTTGCTTATGAGGAGCGGCCATTTTGTCCGTCGGTTTCGCTCTGATTTTCATGCAATTCGAACTTTGTTGTCATTAGGGCGTAACGGTGATATATTGAAACGGTTTTTAAAATCGGATAAAAATTGTGACCTCAAGAATATCGAAAGAGACCGAGATCTTTGGGATCTAAACATAATTTTTTTAAGTCTCATGAAAATCAGATATAAATTGTGACCTCGAGGGTGTCCACAACCTTGGAATTACATACTTTTACAATATTTGCGTACAAGGAGCGGCGACTTTTTGTAAAATCATGGCCCATAATCCAGGAAGTTAAATCCGATATGCGAGAATGTCGAAAGGAACCGAGTTCATTGGGTTTCATCAAAATCGGATAAAAATTGTAAACTCCATGTGCAGTATCCACAAGCTTAAAACGTGATTTTTCGTAAGTTCAGGGGCCATAGTCCATGAAGTTACGGTCCGTATCATACCAATATCGACAGGAGCCGAATTCTTAGGGACATAACCTATATTTCAAGTTTTGTTGAAAATGGATAAAAATTGTGACCTGTAGAGTGCCCATAAACAAATTGTTGACGGATGGGCGGACAGGGGCGACGACAATGTACAAAAATAGCGAGGTAGGTGTTCCTATTTTTATTACGTGTGGATTTGAATATTTTGTTGACACGTGATTTTTAATTGTGGTATGAATCCGTCTGCTTAAATAACGATAAGAGTTATACCCCTTTACTTTCGGTAATATGTCGGACAAGAAAATTTTTGAAATCCCAACTCGAACTCATTTTCGAATGAGATATGGTTTGTCGATAGAGCAACTGTGAACTTCAAATTGTATCCCTGATGACCTCGCGATTGAAATTGGGTCTGTTTTGCATAATTGTCGACTTTCATCTGCTCTAACTCGACTGTTTTTCAAAATTTTGAATTGAAATTTCTCATTTTTCATAGAAAAAAAATGTTTAAATAGTCAAGATCGACATTCTAGATCGAGAATTTGCGAAAATCCATATTCACTGGGAGACGCCATCTTGGATTTGTAGACTGGATACCAAACCACACCGAGACTGAATATTTTGGCAAAGCGGATTGAAGGGGAGCCGGAGTTGATATATTGACCCTTTGAATAACAATATTGGCGATTGGGTACCTGAATAATCCGCCGATGTATCCCAATCAAAACTAAAGTTTTTGGTAACTTTCGACACAAATTTTCATACTTTTGCAAGTTAGCTGACAACGATTCTATTTCTTGGGTTGTTAGAACTGGTCCAGCTGCAAATAAATTGATTTTAATTTTTATTGCAAATCCTGCTCCAGTGGAGTTATCGCGATCTGAAAATAGGGTACATTTCAGGTATCTCCAGACACGTATCTTGTGTAGTCTCCTGACACCTATGGAAAATGAACTTGAACCGGCTGACCATGATAATATGATAGGGTAAGACCCCGACTATCACGAACAACCAAAACCTAGTTCGCCAGGGTCATGCAAAAACGGTAGTAGTTCGACAAAAATAGCTAAAATTTGGCCTAAAAAAGACAAAAATCAGCCGAAAAACGTAATCGGCCTGTATCTCGGAAACGGTTGATTTCTGAAATCGGCAATTTTGGCTGGGGAGTAGGCTCGATGGGTCGACCAAACCCTGTGAGTATGAACTTAATCGGCCGACCCCCACCTTCGAACATCTACCTGATATTGCATGGTTTTCTCGTGGAATGCCTCTTAAAAGTGGTTTCGTGTTGGCTTTTCCATTCTTTACCTATTTCGTCATTCAATATATTAAATTATAATGGTACTTTTCAAGAGATCTGGAAAACACAGTAAATCAGAGACATGTTTAGATATTAGTTAATTCTTAGTCTTCATCAGAAGATTCAAAATCAAAGTTCATAATATGAGTTGGATAAATATCTTCTTGGTTGCTGACCAGCAGCTCGCATATATCCTTTGGATATGCTTCAGATAACAATTCACATTCCAAATCTTTATTCCAGCCATGCAGCAAAGACCACTACGGCAAGGTGGTAATAAAGAAAGGTCTGTTATTTTTTCACCCAGAAAATCTATCTTCTAGCGTCATCTACTGATGTAAGTCGCGATATTTTCTTCCTTTGCCCATCTCATTATCGATCAAAATGTGTATATTTGGATCATTGTGAGGAGAATGATTGGGGTGTCTCTTTCGCCCGAGCAATTTGTTTCAGCGCTTCCATTAATTTGCAATGCGAAGAGGAGTAGGTAAGCTATATTGGTGTCCTTGTAGTTTGTTGTCAGTTCTAGGATATTCTCGACACTTTCAAAACTAATCTTGATATATTTTTTGATCCAATGAAGATTAGTATTGAAAGTGTTGAGAATATCTCGGCCTACATGCTTTCTGTGGTAATGATTATCTGTCTTTCTTTTTCCAACTTTCTAACAATTTTTAAAGAGCTGGGACAGACAAATGATGTTTCTGATGATGTAATTACTGGTTTAGAAAAAAATGTCTGTACTATGTATGGTGAAAGGCGACTTACATCAGTAGACGACACTGGAAAAAAGATTTTCTGGGGGAATTTAAATTGTGATGAAAAAAACAAAAAAACCTTTCTTTCTTTATAACCATCTTGCCTGAGTAGTCTTTTGCTGCACATTAAATGCAACAATTATGTTGCAACAATATGGAGACAGGCTGCAAAACCAATGATCGAACAAGATAACCCTTGGATACAAGGCTGGAATGAAGATTTACAATGGGAATGGGTATCTGAAGCATATCCAAAGGATATATGCGAGCTGTTGATTAGCTATCAAGAAGATATCTATTCCGCTCATATTATGAACTTTGATTTTGAATCTTCTGATGGAGACTAAGAATAAACTAATATCTAAACATGTCCTTGATTTACTGTGTATTTTATGTACATTTCCAGATCTCTTGAAAAGTACCATTATAATTTAATATTATTATTTGGAATGATGAAATTAATACAGATGTATATTTCGTTACATGTTTTTATACGCCCACATTGAAATGTGGTCGTATATTGTTGTCGCGTCCGTCCGTCAGTCTGTCGGTCCATTGTGGACGCTCTAGAGGCTAAAGTTATTATCCGATTGACTTTAAATTTATACACAGTGTTTAAGGTCATGAGACGAAGAAGCCTATTGATTTTCAGCGATTTCTGATAATTACTGCCAGAATTATGGCCCTTGACCTCTTTGAAAAATCTTGTGGATGCTCTAGAGGCTAAAGTTAATGTCCTATTGACTTTAAATTTATACACAGTGTTTAAGGTCATGAGATGAGAAAGCCTATTGATTTTCAGCAATTTCTGATAATTACTGCCAGAGTTATGGCCCTTGATCACTTTGAAAAATCTTGTGGACGCTCTAGAGGCTAATGTTAATATCCTATTGACTTTAAATTTATACACAGTGTTTAAGGTCATGAGACGAAGAAGCCTATTGATTTTCAGCGATTTCCGATAATTACTGCCAGAATTATGGCCCTTGACCACTTTGAAAAATCTTGTGGACGCTCTAGAGGCTAAAGTTAATGTCCTATTGACTTTAAATTTATACACAGTGTTTAAGGTCATGAGACGAGAAAGCCTATTGATTTTCAGCGATTTCCGATAATTACTGTCAGAGTTATGGCCCTTGATCACTTTGAAAATTCTTGTGGACGCTCTAGGGGCTAAAGTTAATATCCGATTGAATTTAAATTTATACACAGTGTTTGAGGCCATGAGATGAAGAATCATATTGATTTTTATACGCCCCCATTTTCATGTGGACGTATATTGTCGTCGCCCCTGTCCATCCGGCCGTCCACAATTGTTTGTGAACAGTCTACAGGTCACAATTTTTATCCGATTTCAATGAAACTTGAAATATAGGTTTATCACCCTAAGATCTCAGTTCCTTTCGATATTGTCATGTATGGGACTGTAACTTCATGGATTATGGCCCCTGATTGTATGAAAAATCACGTTTTTAGCTTGTGAACACTGTAGAGGTCATAATTTTTATCCGATTTAAAAAAACGTATTATTATATCACCGTTACACCCTAAGGATGTCTGAGTTCAAATTTCGTGAAAATCGGCCCAAAACTGACAGACAAAATGGCCGCCCCTCGTTCTCAAATAGCGTAAAAATATGGTATATCAAAGTTGTGGACCCTATAGAGGTCACAATTTTTATCCGATTTTGTTGAAACTTGAAATGTAAGTTTATAACCCAAAGATCTCGGTTCCTTTTGATATTCACGCATATCGGATGGTAACTTTGTGAATTATGGCCTCTGATTGTACGAAAAATCACTTTCTTTTTAGCTTGTTCTCTATCCATCTCTCGAAAATGTGGGCTTATGCTGCCTGGCAGCCGCTGGTCAACGATTTCCGATAATTACTGCCAGAATTATGGCCCTTGATCACTTAGAAAAATCTTGTGACACTCTAGAGGCTAAAGTTATCATCCAATTGACTTCAGATTGATACACAGAGTTTAAGATCTTGAGACGAAGAATTATATTGATTTTCAATGAATCTTTATGACTTGAACAGCTAAATCCATGATGTTAAAAGTTTTGTATACTAAACGTTAGCATGGGGCAGAACTTTATAAAAACCAAACAAATTCTAATGGTTTTCTGATAACTACTTAATGAGTTGTTACTCTTAATCAGATTTCAATGTATTATAAATGTTTCATTACTGAAAAAAGTAAAAATATGCGACAACTCTTGTTGACGGCCCGGACGATATAGCTGCTGTGGGCGTATGTTTCGTTGCCTGGCAACCTATCTTTATACTTTTGATGGCCTACACTACATGCGTTATACGAGCGGCTTTTGACACTTTGGTGTCAGACATTGATTAATCAAATCAGTGTTGACGTTTCTAGGGGTTTACCCCCCAGTTCTGTGCAGAGCAAGCCAAGAATTCGCCGTAACAGACCGTTTTATTGGCTAATTCCCTCACATCAACTAGACCGCCTGTTATATAACAACTTGTTCAGATCCTAGTGTTGTGAAGACAAGTAAAACGAAATTTTGAACTATAAAAAAACGAAACGAAATAGCATCTGTGTGTTTTAATCAGATTGAACTAAAAAGTTAACGAGAAAACACTTTTCAGGCCAATTTTGAACCGAATTGTTTCTGGCCCCAAAATTACATTTTGTTCCCTCTGCCCCATACAATGGGAATCATACACAGCGGAATTAAAAAGTAATGTTTTTACCAAGCTCTACACGCACACCTGCTACCCCCCCCCCCCAACCTCCCCACAAATCAAAACAGTTGTCCAGGGGGGCACAATATACACTTCTTTAGAGATGGACAGTCCTAGAAATTTATGTTTTAGTAATATATAAAATGATCATCATTTATATCAACATAATGACATTTCCCCCAATTGTAGACATCGGACCCCCCATATCTCGAAAACGCCCCCTCAAATGCCTGATCACCACCCAGATTCGGAATCTACGCAAAAAACTGGTCTAGAAAGACTTGGTCTCATAAATTCACAGCTCGGGTGGCGATTCCCCCCCCCCCCCACCAACCCCCACTTCCCTTCAGCCACCGGACTAAAAGTCTGGGAATGTGGCATTTTTAGAAAATGTTTTAGTTTTCAAAATATTTGCTTGAAACTTCGTGATAACATGTACTGATCATTTGTCAATACTCAATACATATCAAACACAAATTTACTTAAATTATCTTCCTTCCTAGAACGGGTGGTTGGATGGCTGAATGGTTAGCGCGTGCGCGCTGTATCATACAGTCTGTCATTAAGTCGAGTGGCGTGGTTTCGAATCTCCGGTTGTACGTGGCAAGGAGTAGGGTCGCCTGTCCAACCTCGTGGGTTTTCTCCGGGTCCTCCGGTTTCCTCCCACTGCTAAAGACCCCTACGCGCAAGCGAATTATGTAAATAAAATTAAACCATATGTTAGTCCCGAAATGACCTAGTTTGTGTCGAGTGGACGTTAAACCACCTTTCTCTCTCTCTCTCTTTCCTTCCTAGATCTAAATTTTAGCTATAAACTGGGTAATAATTATCCGACTGACCCAGAATTATGGTATTCTTAGAAAAAGTGATTTTCATGTGGACGTATATTGTCGTCGCCCCTGTCCGTCCGTCTGTCCGTCCACAATTGTTTGTGAACAGTCTACAGGTCACAATTTTTATCCGATTTTGTTCAAACTTGAAATGTAAGTTTATAACCCAAAGAGTTCATAATTTTTATCTGATTTAAAAAAACGTATTATTATATCAGGACGGCTGAGTTCGAATTTCGTGAAAATCGGCCCAAAACTGACAGACAAAATGGCCGCCCCTCATTCTCAAATAGCGTAAAAATATGGTATATCAAAGTTGTGGACCCTATAAAGGTCACAATTTTTATCCGATTTTGTTGAAACTTGAAATGTAAGTTTATAACCCAAAGATCGTGGTTCCTTTCGATATTAGCGCAAATTGGACCGTAACTTCCTGAATTATGGCCCCTGATTGTACGAAAAATCACTTTCTTTTTAGCTTGTTCTCTATCCATCTCTCGAAAATGTGGGCGTATCCTGCCTGGCAGCCGCTGGTTTAACCTTTTCGGAACACTTTTGCATGTTAAAATTTAGCTGCCCTTGTAAATGAGCAGAGCGAGACTGAAGCCAATTTTCGGATTTCGTTTTCCTAAAACTTGGATCATAAGGCTGAAACATAACTATTTTTAAAGACATATTAGTCATATATGAGAGCAAATGAAAATCCATAATTCATTTTAAATTTCCAGGAGTGTCAATATATTCCTTTATCATTATCTATTTTAAACTATTATATTTAAACTGTCAGCTCTTTATCTAAATCTTACATAATGCATTTTTAATTCGATAGCAGACACATATGCCGTGTTATTGATTTAATAACTGTCTAAATAATATTATATCATAGTAGTTTTATTTTTGTTGAAAGTTTCATTAGGAATTACGCTACATAGAAAATAAGTTGATCACCATGCCAATCTTAGCTCAAGTTTAAAATCTCGAATAGTTCTCAAGACAAATTTTAAGCCACTGAATAACTAGGCAAACCGCCATGTTGTGGACCAAGTTATTTTTTAGTATGTCCTGCAGCCTCCTTCCAAAATTTCATCACGTGCCTGCACACTAGCAGGTTAAAACTTGTATGTAGCTTATATCTATATCAAAAAGTTCCAATTAAATATTCAAGTCAGTGGGACAAACAACCGTGGTCTGGGATCCAGTAAATAACGCTTTCAAAAGAGTAATATTCTATTGGGTTGAAACAACCACCTACACATCAAATTTGGGCAAAATGACTTAAAGCTAACCCAGCACCCCTTATCCACTTAGGCGCTTCCAGATAGCTAGGCTAAACATGGCTGTTTTCAGTACCAAGATGTCAACAAACCACGATTTTTCAAGGGAGAAAAGCTATATAGCTTGATCTGAATTTAATTCTCACAAGACAGCAAATTATGGGATGACCATTCCAGTTATTTCACAATGTTTTAGCCATTTTGAATAAAAATTGAAGAAATGTCAAGCAATTTTCGAGTCGTAATATCACCTGGATCAGACAGTAGGTCCACTAAGCTCAACAAGAAATTGGGCATCATTTTTTTCAGTCCCAATGAACCAAAAAAGACTTCAAGAAAGGAATTCAAGAAATAAGTTTAATTGGAAATGCCACTATCCTGGCAAAATTCTCCAATCTACAATGTTCATGTATGGCAATTAAAGTTAATCTTAAGACAGGTTAAAACTCATTCAATATGGAATAGTGTTATAGTCTTGTTTTATTTTCATTCAAACAATTATCCTTTGTATGGGATGTAGATTTGTTTATTTATAAATTTCAGCGTTATTATTCAGTGCCACGTTTAGAAAGAGAATAGAGAAATTAGCTCGAGATATATTAGGTGATCCTGTTAGAATTGTACAGGGAGAAATAGGAGAGGTATAATTTATATTTCATTTGTGGAATCTCAATATTTTAAGGTGTTTTGACAGAGGTGGGGGTGGGGTCGTATTTCTAACCTGTTTCCAATAGTTTTATGGCATGTTAGCTGACAATAAATGTATGTGAGGTTATTTGGCTACACTTCCACTTCCCTAAAACCAGGACCCTGTTTCACAAAAACTTAAATCTCCTTAAAATCGTCTTAAACTAAAATTCCATCCTAACTTAAGATAGATACGTTTCACAAAACGATTTTAAGCATTTTAGATACAATCCACTAAAATAATTTTATTTCAATAATTCGCTTGCGTGTAGGGGTCTTTAATAGTAGGAGGAAACGGGAGGACCCGGAGAAAACCCACGAGGTTGAACGGGCGACCCTACTCCCTGTCACGTACAACCAGGGAATCCAAACCCTGTCTGTCCTATAATACTATATACGCCATATGCAAAGTATTTATGGTTTTACGGTTATGATCATTTATATAGGAGCCAAGGGTATTTTATATTGGGAAAAATTCATTTTAATTTAGTAAGATAGATAGGCATTATCCAATAAGGAGTGTGTCACTTTGGCATTTTCAAATTATTATTGAAAGGTGTCCATGGGACTGACATTTCAAATCTAGGGATCGGAACATTGGATATTTCGTGTATTAGTTTAAAAGTTGTTAAATACTTTAAAAATCGACAATACTTTAGTCTAGATTAATCGTTTGAGTCAGAAATATCACGTTTGTGACAATTTCTCAATAGTTTCTGTTATCCCAAATACCATAAAACTACGAAATTCAAGCGATTTAGTTCATCAATACGCATTATTTCTATTGAAGCCTGCGAGTAAATCATATGCCAAGGTCATACGACATGCAAGTTCAATGCCAAACAACTGATACATTTCAAAACGAATAACACGCAATAAACTTATTTATATGATCTCTCTATGACTGTCTGACCATGTGTAGACATTGTTACAACGTATGAAACTCTCCTCATTGGTATTGTAACGGTTAGTTCAACCTGGCAACAGTTTTCTGTTCCGAAGTGTGTATGCTTACACCCTAAGTGCCCTCACTTACAATCGATCTTCGTGAAACGCATAAAATTTAAAATTTCAGTTTGATTTTAGTTAAAATCTATTTTAGTGATTTTAGTTGAAGTTTTTGTGAAACAGGGCCCAGGTCCTGTATATAATTTCATATTTAAAGATGAGGAAAGTCACTGTGTGATCTGGGTAAAATTTTAAAATAAAAAGTATAAATTTTTGAATTTTTATTATTTTGGCCTCAAATATATTCAGGAAGAAAACTTAATCACTCTTCTCTCTCACAAGTTTTCAGTTCCAAATATTTCAGTTTAAACAACGTACCGCACACCGTGATTCTTTTATATAGATTATCCACAGCTCTTTTATATATGGTGCATTCGATTACTGGCACCGCGCTTACTCAGGCCTCCACGAGTGCGTTTGGGTTACCGATGACGTCATTTAAACGGCTTACTCGCACCAGGTCGAAGTAACCTGCCCCATGGAGCTGTTTACTTTGGGAAGTATCCCATAATCCAATTATTCAGCAAATAATTTTTATACGCCAACATTTTCATGTGGACGTATATTGTTGTCGCCCCTGTCCGTCTGGACGTCCGTCCGTCCGTCCACAATTGTTTGTGGACACTCTACAGGTCACAAGTCTTATCCGATTTTGACGAAACTTGAAATATAGGTTTTTCTCCAAAAGATCTCTGCTACTTTCGATATTGGCATGTATCGGATCGAAACTTCATGGATTATGGATCCTGTTTGTACGAAAAATCACGTTTTTAGCTTGTGGACCCTATAGAGGACACAATTTTTATCCGATTTTGTTGAAACTTGAAATGTAAGTTTATAACCCAAAGATCTCGGTTCCTGTTGATATTTGCGCATACCTGACAGTAACTTCCTGAATTATGGCCCCTGATTGTACGAAAAATCGCGTTTTTAGCTGGTGGACTCTATAGAGGTCATAATTTTTATCCGATTTTGTTGAAACTTGAAATGTAAGTTTATAACCCAAAGATCTCGGTTCCTGTCGATATTCGCACATACCTGACAGTAACTTCCGAAATTATGGCCCCTGATTGTACGAAAAATCGCGTTTTTAGCTGGTGGACTCTATAGATGTCATAATTTTTATCCGATTTAAAAAAACGTATTATTATATCACCGTTACACCCTTAGGATGACCACATATTATTATATCACCGTTAGACCCTAAGGACGACTGAGTTCAAATTTTGTGAAAATCGGCCCAAAATTGACAGACAAAATGGCCGCCTTTCTTTCTTAAATAGCATAAAAATATGTTATATCAAGGTTGTGGACCCAATAGAGGTCACAATTTTTATCCGATTTTGTTGAAACTTGAAATGTAAGTTTATAACCCAAAGATCTTGGTTCCTTTCGATATTCGCGCATATCGGACCAAACTTCCTGAATTATGGCCCCTGATTGTACGAAAAATCGCGTTTTTAGCTTGTGGACCCTATAGAGGTCATAATTTTTATCTGATTTTAAAAAACGTATTATTATATCACTGTTACACCCTAAGGACAGCTGAGTTTGAATTTCGTGAAAATCGGCCCAAAATTGAAAGACAAAATGGTCACCGTTCGTTCTCAAATAGCGTAAAAATATGGTATATCAAGGTTGTGGACCCTATAGAGGTCAAAATTTTTATCCGATTTTGTTGAAACTTGAAATGTAAGTTTATAACACAAAGATCTCGGTTCCTTTCGATATTTGCGCATATCGAATTGTAATTTCCTGAATTATGGCCCTTGATTGTAGGAAAAATCACTTTCTTTTTAGCTTGTTATCTATCTATCTCTCGGAAATGTGGGCGTATCAAGGCTGGCAGCCGCTGGTTTTGATCGAATTTATATTTGCAGATTAAGTTTAGATGACGGAAGATTTATTGTTGACACTTTGCTCCGATTAAAAATACCATACCTCCATTCCACAGTAGTTTTGTGTTTATTTTAGTGATTCTACATATTGGTGCAACGATTCTAGGAGTTAGAAAAGGACATTCAGCGTCTTTTCAGTTGCCCAAAGACACCTTCGATCGTAGAACTTTTTAGAAAAATTTTGGATTACGGGTCAATGCAGACTGGGGCCCCAATTAGGAATTCTCCCTCCTGAAATTTGGAATCTGGTTGGAGGAAAATACAAGAATTCCTCAAAACCCTAGCGTCATGTGTACACCCAGACCAGCCGGTGTGAACATAAGTAAAGCAGATTCAATGATCACATACAGCCTGGAGTACGACCCAGTGAACTTTTTGCGATTGATGTATATTATTGAATTGTCCTTCATCTTGGGCGCCATAATTAGGATATGACGGCCATTGATAGCTCAGATTGTTCCAGGAAATTTACAATATTCAGCAAAACAGTTATAAATTTCTTGACGTTTGTGGGGTAATGGAAATTGAATAGTTGTTTTCATTAGAAACTCTGCCACATATACAGTGCGTTAACGATATCCCAAATCTATCGGATACTGAGTGAAATGGATCTAGCGTAGCAATATGCCACAGAAACACCACTGCTTGTTTTGGAATTGTATCTGATGTGCGACCATAACCTTGCCCTCCTTACTGCAATTCTGGTATGTCATGGAGCTCGTTAACAAAGTTATCAAACGTTACACGAAAGTGTGATTTAAAGTCTTATATTATGTTCTGCATAATGCCAATGAAAAAGTCTGTCTCAATTAAAGTTTATTGGCGGATTGTTGTCTGTTCGTCGTTATTTATCAGAACAGCAAACATAATTGTTTGGCGGCGTTTATCTTCCATTTTGATACCTAATGGAAGCCACGTCGTTCGATTACCCATTCCCACTGCGTATCTCGAAACGTACTCGAGGATCCTGGTCGAGTAAGCAATCGAACGCAATAATAGATTATCCAGAGTTGATTTATATAGATTATCCAGCGCTATTTTATATAGATTATCCAGCGCTATTTTAATTTCTAATTACATGTAAATAACAGGGGACTATTAAAATGGGTCCGTCTGTCTGTCTGTCCGTCACACATTTTAGGACACAATAACTCTCCTTCTAATTATGTAACTTCTTGTTATCTCATTTTATTATGTTAATATAATATTGTTTTATTATGTTAATATAATATTGTTTTATTATGTTAATATAATATTATTCATGTGTCAGTTGTGCATTATAGTTTGTAATAATAGATATCTTCCTGGATTCATGATGAATATTTTTGTAAAATTTCTAGGCAAATGAAGATGTGACACAGTATATTGAAGTTCTTCCACCAGGACCTGCCAAATGGTCGTGGTTGGTTAAACGTATTGTAGGTTTTACTACAGGTTAGTATTATAGTCTCCTACAGAATATATATACCCGTCCTTATTATATAATTAGCCCATTTAGTGCAGAACATCAAAACTCATTTTGATTTATTTATCTATACAAAGATTCTAAATACACATTTTCCTCATTTCAGATGGAAGTGTTTTAATATTTGTAACCAGAAAATCCAACAGTGAAGAATTAGCTGCTAATCTTAGAGCCCGAGATTTATCATGTAACTATGACAACTATATATTATTATGTTTTAACTTGTCAACACTCCAGAGGTCACAATTTTTATCCGATTTGGATGAAACTTAAAATGTTATTTATAACCAAAATTTATTGGTTCTTTTAGATATCAGACCTTAATTTCCTTCATTATGACCCAGTTTGTACGAAAAAAAATCAATTTTTTAGCTTTTGAAACTTCTAGAGGTCACAATTGTTAAATGATCTTGATGAAACTTGAAAGATATGTTTATATTGGAGCATATCGGACGGTAATGTTATTTTATTGTATTTTTATTTTAGTGGGGTTATTACATGGTGATATCAGTCAGTCCGAGAGAAATGAAATCATCTCATCGTTTAAAAAGAAAGAATTTCCTATTTTAGTAGCAACAGATGTAGCAGGTATTATGTTGTTTCTCTAGCCTGTATATTTCACATATATAAACTCTTTGACTACACAATAGTGTTTGACAATTTCACAAAATGTTTAATATATTTTGAAAATGTTTAATATATTTAGAAAATGTTTTATATGTGTAAATTCCCTGTATGTATTATTAAAAACATGTACCAGTATATAAATATTATTTATCAATTTTTTTCCAGCTCGAGGTTTAGATATACCACATATAAAAACAGTTGTTAATTACGATATAGCAAGAGATATTGATACTCATACACATAGAATCGGTCGTACTGGACGAGCTGGTAGGTTTATATACCCACCTACACCCCTCGACAAGCTGGTAACTATGGTTACCAAAGACAAGGCAGGATATGCTTCTGACGTCTCCTTTTGGAACATCAGGTGTCACTTATCATTTGGGAAGGTGCACATTTACATGCAATATGGAAGAGAGGAGATTACCTCCTACTCGTCTCTGATTTTAAACTGTTAACGATTCAAGTTCACAAATATATTTAGTTCAATGATTATGTAGATTTTCCATATCAGTTCCTCCCCCCCCCCCCCCACCTCCGTCACTCCCACATGCAGCTTCTCTAAGCGGGAAAAATCCAAATCGACATCCCCTTCTCAGCACGAATACGAACATGTGATATTGTAGTTAAGAGTGCTGTAAAATCACATGATTGAAAAGTGAATTTAAAGAAAGAAAGGAATATTATATTGATATAATGGTTATAAATATGTTTTTACAGGTGAGAAAGGAACAGCATATACGTTAATAACAAATAAAGATAAAGAGTTTGCTCCCCTGTTAGTTCGTAATTTAGAAGGAGCCAATCAGTTTGTGCCCCCTGCATTATTAGATCTAGCTGTACAGGTAAGACATTACATTATTACAGGTGTCTTTGGGCTGGTAAATTCAGGTATTTAAATACCTTTCATACAAAGAACTAAATGACACTATGTTGATTATTATGAAAGAAATGCTCAAACGTCATGAATCCGCCAGAGGACTGCGTTCTTCTTCAAAAGGCCTACTTGTCACACCATCAATACAGTTCGAACTCAGCAAAAAAAAATTTTCAAAATAGTTTTATGTGACCAACAAGAAAATACATGAAAGTGGAATATTTTATTTATTACAGTGTCCATGGTTTAACAAGAATCGATATAAGAAAGAACGAGGTAAATCTGTGATGAGAGGAGGAGGTAAACGTCTCGGTTTTAAAGAACGACCAGGATTAGGTTCAGAAAGTGTGAGTTGCTTTACCTTGTTCAGTTTTATATCAGTCATTCTCTTGATTAATGACGGTTAGCACGGTTTCCACCTTGATAGAATATAGTCATGTTTTACAAGTCTTTTGTTGTTGTATTTCTATATACCAGAGTACAAGTAGTCAAGATTCATCCAGCCTTACAACATATCGACCATCTGCATCTATGGGAAGAAGTGACAGATTATCAGCCATGAAAGCTGCTTTAACTGTAAGTAAACCTGATTTAACCTGGCAATCCTGTCTTAAACAATTACTTCTCCGTTAATCAAACTCAAACTGTCCGTGTTAAAGAACTAGTATACCATCCTTAAACAGTTCACCCATCTACATGAATCTGGTACTAGACAATTCACCCATCTACTTGACTCTGGTACTAGACAGTTCACCCATCTACATGACTCTGGTACTAGACAGTTCACCCATCTACATGACTCTGGTAAAACATGCAGCAGTCCAGGTGGTAAACGGTTAAAATGGATTTATTTCAAACCAAAATTTCTCTTTTTAGGCTCAGTTTAAATCTAACTTTGTGACGTCTACGACTGATGGTGTTCCATCTTTGATGGGCGGAGGACTTGGACAAAAGGCTACATTTCACGAACCATTGAATCCCCAGACGTCAAATTCATCAGATTCTAAACGAAGAAAAAAGAGTCGATGGGATTAAAAAACCTTTTTATCTAGTGATTTATAAAACAATACTGTGTGTTACATGGAAGATAAAACATTACTGTGTATTACATGGAAAAAGTCTGAAGTGTGTAGAGAAATAGATTGTATGAAGGCTGGAAACATTGGGATTATTAACCTTGATAAAGTAGATGGATTCGTTTCCTTCTCTTACCAGTTTATTGTTGTTCAATCCTGTTTATGACAACAGATTTCACAATGGTGTAAATCTATACTGTACTGCCATTGTTTGGGTTGAGATTGAATGTTGTTATTTTATGTTCTGTGTCGACAAGGAGTAGGGTAATCAATCGGCCAACCACATGGTTGGGTTGGTTTAACACATCTAATCATAAGATCGGACTGAATGGTGTTGCTTCGATTCCACGTTTGTATCTGGCTAATCTCATTGGTGAACCTTGAATATCACCTAGTTTAAACCCTGTTGCTCACTCTAACAATGACAGTTCATAGGATCAAATTTTAGAAAAATTCTAGATGCCCTTTGTTCAAGTACTATCTTAGTTAAATAGATGTCCATTGACTGATATTTTCAGCAAATTCCCTTTACATTTTCTAGTTTTTAACTATTATAGTGAGAACTGCCATCTCTTTATCTTATCTCCCATAATTGTTCACCTTATTTTATGTAAAATATAGCCCTTTATAAAACTTTTGTTTGTTTTGATGTATCACATACATCAATAAGAAACTATGTACAAAGTTTTGTGTTTCTGGACTACACGCAAAACACGCAAAACTACACGCAAAACAAAAATCTACAAGATAAACCTGCGAACAAGACATAAAATAGACATTGCACTCTCATAAACAATGATTACATGTTGACTAAATTCTTAACTTTAATTTGAGAATACTTTGTGAAACTGGCGCTAGACTGGCTCGCACTTTGTGAAACTGGCGCTAGACTGGCTCGCACTTTGTGAAACTGGCGCTAGACTGGCTCGCACTTTCTTCTTAAATAAAATCTTGTACTGAGCTATTAAAGAGACTGTCTCACATGTTCTTCTCAAATATTTATCTATAATTTAATTTTTATGTTGAATATTATGTTGTAGTTGTCTAGTTACCTAGGATAAAAGACTGTTCCAAGGTTAATGTATTAATATTGGATGTATTTTATTAAACAAGATGGTGACGATGACATCAAGAGTAATACTCTCATACCTGTTTTATTTAGATCTTATGGAAGTTTTCTTTGCAATAATTTAACAATCTGTCGCTTTATTCACAACACATGTAATACAATTACAGACATTCACTATTTTTTTGCAATCTGTAAATTTATTGTTGTCTAATAAAAGTTACAATTCCTACTATTCATACAAATTTCGATTCGTGGGTTTTCTCGGGGTCCTCGGTTGTACGTGACAAAGAGTAGGGTCTTCTGTCCAACCTCGTGAGTTTTCTCCAGGTCCTCATGTTTCCTCCCACTGCTAGAGACGCCTACGCGCAAGTGAATTATTGAAATAAAATTAAACCATATGTTAGTCCTGAAATGACCTAGTTTGTGTCGCGTGTATGTTAAACCCCATTTCTCTCTATGTCATCAAATAGTACTATTGGATAGAAATGAAAGTAAGACAAATAAATCAAGGTCTTTATTATCTCATAAATATTATCTCTGTGATTATTACAAACATTTAATGGTTGCATTGGTACCGGAAGTGACATATGTTTAGGGTAACATGGCACCGGTGAAACCCGTCATTACTGCTTTGCAGTTCTAGTTATTTTTATTATTATTATTATTATTATTTTTCATTTTGAGCATATCTCAGAAACTACTTGTCAGATTGATTCGATGTCTTCGGTTTTACTTGGAAAGTGGGCTTGACTTAAATTTTAAAGCTATTTCTAAAGTTCTGCGACAATGCGAAATGTCCGAAATTACCGAAGTTGTCATTTTTCGAAATTTTGCTGTAATGTTATCAATAATTGTCGGATTGTAATATTTGATACATTTTGACATAACCAGAGACAAGGCACATAGCTACAGTTTTTTAGATTTTTTATTTTCGATGAATCTTCGGAGATATTAGGCGCCAAATTTTGAAAATTTAAATTTTTACAAAAAACTTTTTATTAATGAATATTTTTATGTGGTATTTTACCAAAGGTTAAAGAGTCATCTTCGGAGATATTAGGCGCCAAATTTTGAAAATTTAAATTTTTACAAAAAACTTTTTATTAATGAATATTTTTATGTGGTATTTTACCAAAGGTTAAAGAGTCATCTGATTTGAACAAAAATGGCAAAATTTTTTGTCACCGTATTTTTCCTTGGCCCCCATTGGCTAATTTAGTTTTTCAGTCCTGGATTAATCATTTATTGTTCGATTTGTATAAAACAAAGTTCATATGCTCCGTGGTCCAAAATGTCATTTATTTTGTTACCGGTACATTTTCCTTTCAGCAACGGAAGTGACGGAAATTTAGCAAAAACTGCAATTTTGACAGTTCGATACCACTTTTTGAAAGCAAATATTATTTTTTTCAAATATGGTATGACTGAAATGGTGTGCCCTGTTAAGGCGCAGAAATCATCGCGCTCACTTTTTTAAAATTTTTATTTCGTTTTCGGATCATTTCGGATTAAAGGTGAAAAAAAGGTGAAAAAATGAGCTATTCACAACCCATTCAGGCTTTTCATATTTTAAAATATTTCTTTGCAACTTTCATAAACTAGTAGCAATAATCCATACGAAGATAATGTATGTGAAAATTAGTTTGTAATATGAGCAGTTGCCGAGAAATAGGCAATTTTGCATGAGTCACTTTTTATGCTAGTTTGCCTGTAAAAGAGTCAATTATTATTCGATTTTCATAAAAGTGACACCATTTGATGGGTAATGTCAATTTTAACAAGTTCAAACCAGTTTAACATTTTCAGTGTCACCGAAAATGACGTAATTTGGGCAAAAATTGTATTTATAACCTTCCAAACCAGTAATTTATTCAAATGAGTCGTATTTGTTATTTGTTTAAAATTTTGACATTTGATTCCAATCAACTAATAGAATGAACACATACGGTCATATAGATATCACAAAATGGTTTCTAACTTGTTCAGTTGCGGAGAAATAGATGATTTTCAACAGGTAACTTTTCAAGGTTTTTGGTCCATAAAAGTGTCAATTATTATTCGATTTTCATAAAATTTCCAGTGTGTGATACCTAATGCCATTTACGATTTCATACAAGTAATTTAACACTTTTACTGTCACCGGAAGTAACGTCATTTTGGAAAAAACTGTATTTTTAGCCTTCAAAACAGATAGTTTATTCAAATGAGTCTGATTTGTATTGTTTTTAAAATTATGATATTTGATTCCAATCACCAAATAGATTGAACCCACACAGATACAAAAATATGGTTTCTAACTTGTACGGTTGCAGAGAAATAGACGATTTTCTACAAGTCACTTTTCAAGGTTTTTGGTCTATAAAAGTGGCAATTATTATTCGATTTATATAAAATTTTCACCATGTGATGCCTTATGCTATTTCTGATTTCATCAAACTAATTTAACATTTTCATTACCACCGGAAGTAATGTAATTTTGTCAGGATCACTTACATGTAACAAATTTATACAATGAATTGATATTGCTGGATTTGGTTGATTCTGCGTACATTTTATTTGATGTGTGCGATGCTTATATGGAAACCTGTTTAATGGTTTCATCGGTACCGGAAGTGTCATATGTTCAAGGGTAACGGGGCACCGGTGAAACCCGTCTTTACTGCATCGCAGTTCTAGTTATTATTATCATTAATAATGGTAATTATTTTACATGTTACTTCAGTCTTTAGATGTGAATATATATCCAGTATGATTGTTCAAGCAACTATAAAAGAATTTATAATTTTAACATAATAAATTATTTAATTTTTGGATAAAAATATATGACTAGTAGGACTGAAAGGTTGACCATTTCAACCTTTGATTACTTTATTATGAATCCATATTTAGCCATCTACAATTGTATCATTTGCTAAATAAACCGAAGATTCAAGAACCATACATATTCATTTCTGATTCAAATTTCCTATTGAGAATTAAAACCACGCATTTAACTTATAGATGGACAAATGAATATGAGCAGATAATATATACAAATATTACAAGTAAAATGTGCCGAAAGACTAGGGAATGTGGATACGGAACGGTAGCCTATGAAACCATTATCTTTGGTGCAGGATGAGGGGCCTGGTAGGAAAACATCTAATCGTTCCGATGGAACGGACACCGGACGTCCCCTGTCAGCTGAAAATAGAAAATAAGAGTAGGCTGCTGTGTGTGGTACACTGCATGGCGCATGTCCGTCGTCATTAATCCAGTCGGTGCAGAACGTTCAATCCAATTTTACTGCAACACTAGAACTCCTCAAACAATTATTTAGCGAATTCACAAGATTAAGGAGTCCAGACATGGACGGGGAGGAAGATTGATCCCCTTTCGACAAATCGTGAATTTACCAAAATTTAGAAAGTAATTTGGATATGACGTATACAAGAATTGTGATTATCTTATCTTAGTTTTACCGATAATCGGCGATATAGATTATATTTTATTGTCTACAAGTTATTGCTAACATCATGAAGTATTTCACTGTTTTTATAATCCTCGTCCTTTCCACTGGTAAGAATTCCTTTATTAGCCAGCCATAAACTTAAAATTCTACAGTTTTGTTTTGTTATAGGTGGGGGGCGGACGTTTCGTACACGATAGGTCCAGAAAAAGGTTTGTTGCACCTGTCGAGTGTCTAGGTAATTTGTAGATAACATTATAAATAATATTTGTATTTTTCGTGTACAGGTAGATAGATCTATCTAGACGTCGTGAAAAGATCGTCATATTACTGCCTTTTTCATGATATATTAATGAACAGTAGCTTACAGTCAGTCTAAAAATATGTATCATTTTCGTGGTTGAATATAAAGAATAACACCTTTGGATAAAGATACATTATGTAAGATTTAGATAAAGAGCTGACCGTTCTTGCTAAACTAGTTCATAATTAGATAAAATTCAATTAAATTACTTTATTCTGAGCGGCGAAGTTATTAGTGTGTGAAGTTTTGACAAAATGCAGCATGAATAGTCTCGTTTCTCAACAAAGTCTCGATTATCCAATTTAACATTAAATTATTCTGCCACCGAATGGCCGTGTGAGTGGAGTATAGGCTTTTCATGTGATTCAATGTTTAATTGATAATTTATATGACATGGGATGCCAGAAAAATTACCAACAATAGGCAGACATCTTTAAGATTGAAAGTTGAATTAATTTAGTCTCATTACACATTTCAGTGAATGGTGCGGTTACTGGAAATTTATACTTCAGATATCCTCACTGGAGCCGAAACCATTTTCTTCATTTTACCCCGGAAATCGTAATTTTGTCAATTTTATGAAATCATTTGAATTGTTGATGTAAAGTTGGCGTATCTATAACATATCTTTCCTTGTCGGTGATTTCTGGCACACTCTTTTGGGGTTTTTTTTATAAAAAAGGACGAATCGTTTTGAAATTCGGAAGAGTATGGAAGGGTATCGCTGCCAATATTAAATGCTCTGCTAAAATGTCTTTTCCATTGATTATATGTAAAAAGTACAATGTACAAAGACCTAAAACCGGTAATGATGAATTCAAAATACCTCTATGGCCAAAGTTAAATGTAAAACGTCAAATGTAATGTGTCAAATGACAAATGTTTGATTGGAAAATGCTGTTTTTGGCGTGTCTACGTTTTACATTTCCCGCATTACATTTTACATTTGCGTTCTGCCGCATCTCATTTGACCTCTACGCTTTCTACATAGCATCTTAGGCAGAGCACTAACTATGATATGCAAATATAGGATATCACGTGATTTATTAACATATACGGAAAGGCGGCCGAGATCAACCTGGCACACTATAAGCCAGCACACAATAAGGGGAAATCAACCCGGCACACTATAAGCCAGTACACGACAAGGGGAAATCAAACTGGCACACTATAAGAAATTTACTTACCTTGAAAAAAAGATCAAATTGGATGATATTAAACTATATTACCATGATTACGGATAGGGGGAGGGTGTGCAATGTCAAAATACGGGTCATAATACGATATCATGTTATATTTCGGTGAAAAGCACGTTGATGTATACTCTTTCCTCTCTTTAAGTGGCCTACATGTATATTCATTATTTGTTGGGCACAATGAATATCCTTTTTTTATACGCCCACATTTAAATGTGGTCGTATATTGTCGTCGCCCCCGTCCGTCCGTCCGTCCGTCGGTCCGGCGGTCCGGCGTCCACAAATGCTAGTGGACGCTCTAGAGGCTAAATTTAATATCCGATTGACGTTAAATTTATACACAGTGTTTAAGGTCTTGAGACGAAGAAGCCTATTGATTTTCAGAGATTTCCGATTATTACTGCCCGAGTCATGGCTCTTGATCACTTGAAAAAATCTTGTGGACGCTCTAGAGGCCAAAGTTAATATCCGATTGATCTTTAATTTATACACAGTGTTTAAGGTCATGAGACCAATAATCCTATTGATTTTCAGCGATATCCGATAATTACTGCCAGAGTTATGGCCCTTGATCACTTCAAAAAATCTTGTGGACGCTCTAGAGGTCAAAGTTAATATCCGATTGACTTTAAATTCATACACAGTGTTTAAGGTCATGCGATGAAGAAGCCTATTGATTTTTAGCAATTTCCGATAATTACTGCCAGAGTTATGGCCCTTGATCTTGTGGACGCTCTACAGGCCAAAGTTAATATCCGATTGACTTTAAATTCATACACAGTGTTTAAGGCCATGAGACGAAGAATCCTATTGATTTTTACTGCCAGAGTTATGGCCCTTGATCACTTTGAAAAATCTTGTGGACGCTATAGAGGCCAAAGTTAATATCCGATTGACTTTAGATTTATACACAGTGTTTAAGGTCATGAGACGAAGAAGCCTTTTGATTTTCAGCGATTTGCGATAATTAATGCCAGAGTTATGACCCTTGATCACTTTGAAAAATCTTGTGGACGCTCTAGAGGCCAAAGTTAATATCCGACTGACTTTAAATTTATAATCAGATTTTAGTGTATTATAAATGTTTCATTACCGAAAATTAAAAATATGCGACAACTCTTGTTGACTGCCCGGACGATTTAGCTGCTGTGGGCGTATGTTTCGTTGCCTGGCAACCTATCTTTAAAAAATGGATTAAAGTTAATTAGCCTGTACTAAAATTTAGAGAGAAGGTGTGGTGGCGGTGGCGAGGGTTTAAAATGTCAAAAATACGGGTCTTAATACGAAATTCCAGTTATCGTGTTATACATCACTGGAAAGTGTGTTTGTTTGAATCTTTCAGTTATTTCCTGGCACATTCATTATTACGTACTTTAGAGAAAGAAAACTCCTCGTTGTTTTGTCGAAAGAAATGTGTTGCTGCCAGAGCATTTAATATTGGCAGCGATGCGCTCCCATAGAGAAGAGCATCGATTGCCCGTATCACAGAAATCGTTTAAAGACTCTAGGGGTGACGTATTTTGGGTTTCTGGTGTTTTTATTTAGAATATTGTGATGTTTTTGCCTCCGTTCATAATTCTGTTTGTGGCCGTGTCGTTATTGCCTGACAGGGCTATGTTCTATTTTTATAGTTAAAAAAACTGCCCTATTGTGGACTGTGGCTTTAATATGATGTGTTTAGACTCTGATGTAATAATGACCCATGCAAATTATATTTATAGTTAAGAATCTGTCCTATTGTGGATTGTGCTTTTAATGTGATGTGTCTAGATTCTGGTGACCCATGCAAATGACCCATGCAAATTATATTTATAGTTAAGAATCTGTCCTATTGTGGATTGTGCTTTTAATGTGATGTGTCTAGATTCTGGTGTGATGACACATACAAGTTATTTTAACATTAATGGTATGAAATGTGCCGGTTGTCCAACCTGTAGCAGACTACCTATTGATCTGATTGCCAAAAGAGCGTCAATTCTTACTACTGATTCACCTATAAAACTCGACCCAGTTGTAAGTACAATACTACAGATGTAATGTAATGGTGCTAGTTGACTAACCTGCTGGGGAAGGTTCTAGATTGGTTTCTCTCTTGTCAGTGGTGCAGTACACGGAAAAGTCCGAGGTCCTGTGTATGTCATTGGCAGCACGTTAAAGATCCCCCGAAACTTGGTAAATGTAATAAGAGTAGGAGCCACGGTGGCTTAGTGAGTAAGACCTGGAGAAAGTTCATCGGGATTAAACGACGTGGGTCCACCTTGCCTGTGGTGCAGGACAGAGGGCCTGGCAAGGGACGACGTATAGTCGTTCGGATGGGACGACAAAACGTTAAACCCCATTTCATTTCATTTCGTAAAATGAGTAGGCAATAGTGCCGCTGTTAGGACGCCATTTAGCTCATAGCACACTACATGGTGTATACCCGTCTTCAATATTGCAGAAAAATACATTTAAACGATATTAAATACAGGTTTTAATTCTATGGAATACAATTACTGCTTATTACTGAACAGCGTTTCCACTAGGCTTCTCTAGTTGTAGTAGCGACTGGAACAGACAATAGTTATTATTATTGCCTAGTTATTCCATAGAATAGTTCAATTACTAAATGCCATTGAAACGATGATAGAGAGCACCATGCAGAAACTGAAAAAAACGATAACCCGGGGGGTCAGCAAATTTCAACCATACTTGGTCTATGGGGACCCCTAGGCGACAGAAGTCACATGATGAAGTGAAAAGATTTTGAACGGACAACTTCCGGTATAACTGGAAATTGTTGTTTTGGGGCAAAAGTTGACATATTTCGACCAATTTGTTACCCTAATTTCAAAACGCTCCTACCCGAAATGTTGTGTCTCTAAATTTTTGATATTGGTCAGGTATGATAGGCCTAGTAGTCGTCTTAAAATCCTGCAGTCGTTTGGGAATGAATGAATCGTGTGGAATTTTCTGTGAGTGATCATAAAGTGGTCATTTTACATATGTTTAAAACTATGCTATCCTAAAACGCATGTAGCTGCTTCTTTGCAGGTCTGACATAGAATTGCTTGGTGTGGTTGTGAAGGGCATTTCTCAAAGTAAATGTCAAAAGAAAAAAATTGACCGGAACGCAACCCACTAGAGTGCTGTAATATTCTGAAAACGTGTAAAAACGGTATTTTCCACGAAATTCGTCTTTTCACTGATGACCGACTACTATTTTCAAGAGTTCAAATGACCGTTGATTATGAACATTAGTACTATTTTTTGTTACTTGAACGTTCCTTGTGCCAAATATACTATCTTGGTTAAAAATCATGAAGTTTTTGTGACAAAATCGGACGTTCGCGGTCATCGTAGGAAAGGGGCTTAACTGGTGTATAATTTTGCAGAATCAGGCAACAATTATTCTCATCTGTATTCAGTAGTTAGTAGCACGGAAGTGCATAAATGTAAGAACTGGCATAGCAAGCTTTTATATTAGCACAATTTAACCAAAGCAGCACCTTTTCAGCAATGACCAACGATTATCTTCAAATGACTACTGATCATCACCATTACTTGTAATATTTCGTAATTTCAACGTGAATCGTGTCAAATAGATCATTTTGTTTAAAATCATAATATTTTTGTGACAAAATCTGACTTTCACGCTTGCTTGATAGCCATAGGGAAAAGTCATAAGTGGTGTGTAATTTTGCAGGGATCAGATCACTGTTATTAAGATCTGTATTCATGAGCAGATCATCGTATAAATTTGACTGACATGACTATCATAAACATGATATCTTTTAATTTGTACACCTGCTCATGTAAAGAAGAACCATAAGAAGAAACATTCAGAAGTGTTCATGTAGGTACATTTAATGTCTGGTATTGAAATCTCTGAAGGGAAAGATAGATCACAACAGGATTTATGGCACTCCAGGATAATGTTGACCGCATGTGCCAAACTCCTACATATACCTACGTTCGAGCAGAAGTGCTTACTTACTTAGATTCCTACGTTCGAGTGTAAATGCTCTCTGACCTCCCTTCAAGGTTTTTGGACCCCAGAGTACTGTTTTATTTTGTAGTACTGTTTTTGACCTCTTCTCCTTCAGGGATTTCAATATGGAATTATCATAGCCTCCCGATCTGTAATGACTCTCCAAATGTTTCTATACAATGATCGGCTCCTAAGTACAGATGGGAATAAGCTGGTCTGATTCCTAAAATATGTTTGACCAAAATAACCTATTTGGCACAAGGAACATTGGTAGAAAAGGTGTTGTATAGTCGTCTTGCTGATTGTGTGACTACGACTTACTGTCACTGGATCATCTACAATCCCCTCGTCCTTAAAACCTGTTACAAGAGCGAACATGTACATCCCTCAGAAACACTTCTTTTACCCAAGAGCTAAAATATGCTTACACTGAATCATGTATCATATTTCACCTTTCATTATATCATATTTATAGAAGACGATTTGTTCTGTTTAAATTGCATTGGACTTTCATGAAACTTGTCCCTGGTCTAACACATAGACTTTAGATCCTAAGGTCTGTCATTGAGTTAAGTGGTGTGACAGCATGCCGGTGACATGGCGTGGTGTTGTTTGTCCAAGATCATGGATATTCTCTTTTCACACAAGTGTATTATTGAAGTAAAATTGTACCATATGTTAGTCCCAAAATGACCTAGTTTGTGTTGAGTGGACCTTAAACCCCATTCCTCTCTCTTAAGTCAAAATCCCCCTTGCTAACGAATATATTAACTTTGTGATGATGTCCATAGATACAGTATGCATCACCATATTATGCTAGTCCCAAAATGACCTAGTTTGTGTCCAGTGGACTTTAAATCTCATTTTACTTTGTTCTTCTCATGTGTAAATCATCCTTGCTAACGACTAAATGGAATATATTAAATTTGTAAAGATGTCCATACATATACTTCATCTGGGGTATTGATAGACGGACATTTTATCCTAATTTTTGATGTTTTTAATATATTTCTCCTGTTTTTATTATGACTGTTCCGGTCATTTTTGTTTTTTATTTTGTGGGTAACATTCAACTTTGGTCCTAGTCCCTGCTAAGAACGAGCTATAGCCTCTTAAACATTGGTTTTCATTAAATTCAATTTTCAGAGAGAGTTGGGTATCCGGCCAGTACCAAGGTAGCATTAGCAGTAGAAACTTCAAAATCAGTGTGAAGGAGGAACCTGAGTGGTCCTACTAATGCCCAAAATTTTGTCTATCCTAATCAATTATTGTCCGAATAGCAGGTCATTCAAATTTGGATCCAAAATTGCCTATTTTTGGCTTATTTTTCGATTAAAAAATACTTTTCCAATTTTCCAGGTCGGTATCAACTGAATCAATCTAATATTTTGTGGGGATGTATCTGGGTACTAACCCATGTCACTGAAAAAATTTGGTCCAAATCCCTGACCCAAGGGTTATCACCCCCTGCATGGTGCTCTCGCGGACACGATTTAATCTTCCAGAAAATACAACCAATTCTTGTTGTCCCGTGCCCCAGGGTGATGTGCGCTTATCTTCATGATACCATACCCTGCAAACCATCTGAATATATCCAGAATTATTTTGATTGGAATGATAAAAAATGCCCGGCATGTGTCAGCTGTCCACCGAAACTCCTTTGAATGGAGTATAGAAGATGTATTTAAAATTTGAGTTGATATTTTAAAATTTAGTTTATTATGAGTATGATTTAGTTCCGGTAAAGACATCACTGTTATAGGTCATATTAAGGTTGACATGCCCGATGTCTCATGTCATAATACCCAGTAGTGCACTAAAACAAACCCTTGACAGCGGGTATTCAATTACAAAATAAACCCCCTGTCACCATAGGTACCCTATCCTATATATCTGTACACCTCAAGAATTGAAAGACATATTATCATATTGTTTGCACCGGGCGATGGTAAGAGTACGATTCGGGTACCATGACTGCATTGTATACTGATCATTGTAATCTGACCATATATACCGACCATTGTATTCTTACCCTTGTACTCTGGCCACTGTATACAAAAATCGTCGCCACCATTGTAATCACAATAGTGCAATTTTAATATTTGACTACTTTGACCCCGCCCAACGATCATGAGTTGTTGACATAATCTCCGCCACGTGATTTATATCCCTCTAGTCTCATATTACAAAATAAACACGTCATAACTCTGCGCTAAATAATTGTTTGAGCAATGAGATGGGCTTTAACGTCTTACAGGGCAAATGAAGGCGGGTGCAGTGTACTAACGGCCTTCTCTTATATCGATATGATTACAGGGCTAATGAAGGCGGGTGCAGTGTTTAACCTCCTACTTTTCTGCTCCGACTGGACCAATGAAGATGGATGCAGTGAAGAAACTATAACCTGGACAGAATTCCAACTGCCAGGGAATCTTTGGTTGCTGTTAATGTTGTACCATTGAGCTTGGTTTTCCATCCCATCCGGACGAATATACACTTTTCCTTGTCAGACGTATAGGCCTAATGTTAGAACTCTAACTAAATCTGACTATTACTGTAAATAAATTGATGTATTTTTTCTATAAAAGCGGGTATGAAATATGAAATATCTGTACAAAATATACAAACAACTTAATCTAGATTCTGACGCCTTTACACAAATAGGTTGCCAGCATCTTAATCGCACGAAAATAAACTTTCTGTGTAAACCTGTATAATATCAATCTGCTAGAGTGTCGGAAAAGTGATCGGACTTCATGAAAATCAACAGGATTCTTCTTGTTTACATTATGTGTATAAATGTTAAGCCGACGAGATGATAACCTTATCTTGTGGAACGCCCACAAAAATTGAATGACGAATTGGTAAGGATAACGACAATTAAATGTTGCCGTATAAAAAAGGGAGCGGACGACAACACTTCTTGGATGAAAACCAAAAGACTTCCGGCGAATGTTATAATTTAAGTTACCAACACAACGGTACACAGTATAACAACTATATATGGAATAACAATTATCAATCCTGTTTATTAACCAGTAATTGTTATTCCATAAGTTTAATTTGTTACTCTTCAGTACATAAACACAACGCAATATAAATTCACAGCGCCGTATAGTTATACAGATGGATGCGGACGTAAGTCTGTAACAGGATCGTATATACAGAATATCTAAACATACCGCTAAATTATCAATCGGAAGGCGGAAGAGCAAGGCTAAATTGTCAACTGGAAGGCGGAAGCGCCAGGTGAACTTCTCCTTTGTAAGCGTTACATATAAAGCACATTTTATTCAAAACGTAATAATCCGGGCACTTCAACTCGTTCTCCTAATTTTGGCAAACTATATTTCTTAAGGATTGTATCTGCTTCCACTCGGCATTCAGTGGGAATGGCGCGTCTCGTGTCAGATGTCAACAAACCTTGTCCTAACACAGACGATTTCTGGTAGTCCACTTTGAAAGCTTCTGCGGCTAGTGATAGATATTCTTTACGGATGTCTAAACGATTAAACAAAACTATACAGCTTTGGAGGGGATTTTTCATCAGGTCTTCGTACAAAATAGGGAGAATAGGGATACCTTTCTCCCGAGCCTCGACACACCGAGATACCCCCGCAGCCCAGGCAGCGGTAAAGATACCCACCGTAGATAATTTGGACGGTTTGATTGTCTCTATTTCCTTAGCGTTTACTTTCACATAATAGTTATAGACACCGGTTCTGAAGAATGGCAGGATAGTGGAGATGACTTTATTGTCCATGATGAACCTCAGAGCTTGCGATGCCGGATCGGTCTGTAACAGAGCTAGGTACGACCAGACTGTTTTTAAGCTGTTCCTGTACATAAAGATTTGACGAATCTGGGGAAACATGTGAGCTATGTCTTCAGACAGAGCTGTTGCGTTTGGACGAGCCTTGACACAGATCATGCTATATCTGTCGTCGGGTTTACACAAAAGACGAACAGCACTGGCCAGCAGCTGCTCGTATTCACCTTGTTGTAGTGACAGGTTTTTATGCAAATATCCTAAATTCGTTATAGCATCCGGTTCCGATAATAGAAGCATTCCCGGAATACGATAAAACACTTGACCTAAAAGAGTTGAACCACATCGTCCGGTACTGGAGATCCATATAGTCGGAACCTTCGGGTTACCAACATCGGAAGCTATCTTATGAAAAGACGCTAATGGCATCATCACTATCTTTTTAGCATTCGTGAACTGCGCTTCGTAAAGATACGAATTATGCTGTTGACTTTTGTAAATATTCGTTCCTTCGGGAGTTTCAACAAATATGGCGTCTGTTTTTGTCATGCAGTACAAGGAAACGTTGGGTTTTAAAACGTAGTTGGGATGTTTAAAACAACTATGAAGTGCTATAAAATCTTTGGGATCCGCAATCGTGTGAGGAAGGAACTTCCGTTTCCAGAATATATCCAAAACGTGAGCACTCTGTCGGAACTGTAATCCCCGTCGGGCATCACGACGGATGTTCTCGACTCCTGTAATGGCCCAGGTGAATTTCTGGAAGGTGACTATAATAGATCTAGTGAAGCGATACAGCAAGAAGGACATGAGATATAGAACATAGTCACGACCTTTATACATGGCCGTACTTATATGTTCTAAATGATTGTTCTCACTCTTCTGATCCATGACAAACAGCAGATGATAATCAACCTGAAATTATAAAATAAAAAGACGTGATGAGGATTAGGCAGAGTATAAGTGTTGTTTTCGGGTGTATTGGGACTGAATGAATGGACCAACCTGCTTAGTTAAGACAAGGGAAACATCCAAGGAAAACCAGGAATAGAGCCCCGGACCTACTAATAACTGAGACAGCACATTACTGACAGCTGCTGTGGCCACCGTGTATTTGTAGAAGGGGTGCAACATATGTAGGAAAACTAGTGCTTGTATTCTATGTTATCTTTGTTGCATTTAATTTTACTCAATGGATAAGGATCATAACGTAGGTGATTTGACCGTCTGGAAACAATTGGAATGTCCTGATTGTCCCGATGGTCGGCTTCCATGCAACGCAATGAACGTCGGATGGGACGTAAAACGAAGTAGGCCGTAGCATGAACGCTGCATTGCGTATGTGCGTCTTCATTTGACCGGAGGGTGCAGAAAGTGGGACGTTAAACCCCATTTTATTTGTTATGGAAACAGGGTCAGGGTATTTCATTTGTTATGGAAACAGGGTCAGGGTATTTCATTTTTTATGGAAACAGGGTCCCGGGCGGTTGACAGGCATTATTTATATATATTTGATTAAATGAAAGGTTGAGACTTAGTGACCATGTTATTTTATTACCAAGTACAAATGTTAGTATATAATAAATATACTCTAATAAAACTCACCCAATAAAAATGTGTTATTTATTCACCCTACCCCCCATTAATGGCTAATAAAAATAATCGCTTAAGTGTGATTTTGAAAACAGTTGGTGTCATCCCAGTACTCGATAAGGGCGGGTTACCGTTCATAATGATATGATGATCCTTCATGTTTTCTCTTATACAAAACAATGGGAGTACTCTAATCAAACAACAGAACACAACAATAACAAGAGTTGGGGGGGGGGGATTAAATACCCCTAAAACAGTATTCTGTGGGGTATGGGAGGGGTTTGGGGTAACTTTACAGGGAATTTCCAAGTTCACCATTAAAATTTTTATTTTTGCATAAGGATGCGACCAAAAACGTGGAAGAAAAGGTCATAAAATTCGTAGTATTCAGTCGTTTAAAAATTTCAATTTCTAGGATTTGTGAGAAACACCAGATATTTAGCGAACATGTGACGATAGCCTGAAATCAGTTTGACAGACATATTTTTAAATATTTTTACCTGGTTTTAGTTGTTTTGTTATTTATCCCTGTTATTTATTGTGTTTTGGTATTGTGTTGAATTTATCCCCATGTCGCTAAATGCATCAGCAATTTTCTTTATACCTATTAATATCCGGCGAATATCTCACCAGATTGGAAGTTAGGTTAAATGTTAATCCGATTAACTTTTCAATGGTTTATTTAGTGTGAATAATGAAAACATGTTTTGTTGTTGTATTTATCAATTATTCTAAGATACAGACATATCCATGACAAAACTGCTGAAAAGCAAATTCTGTCAAAAGTACAAAAATGCTTGAATTCTGTTGCTTTTTGAGAAAAACCCTTGGAAACCAACAAACAATATGTACATTGGTTATGTAGCATACATAACTTTAGATTATATTTGGACAATAACAAAACCTGATTTCTGTACAAAACACGGCCAATCTCAACATGCCATAGAACAAACAGTACAGACAATCTCACCAGAACATAGAACAGTACACGAATACAACACAACCGCGGTCCCTGAACGAATCTCAAGTGTCATCAACCTGTAACATGTGTAATAAACTACAATCGTGACGTCATATAACTACACCACTGACAAGGGGAGACTACGCCTGAAAATCCCAACGCAGGGGTCGACCAATGAACCTCCACGTTAGCGAGCCTACGTATTACTCACTGTTTCACACGGCTCCCGACGCCTTAAATTTAACCATTAATAAATAAAGCTTTATGATCTATAGATAAAATATCTATACAATAACTATAGAAAATATTAACCCAGTTGACTATAATAGACACGGAATATATTAAATAGACCATAGTCGTATATCACTAGATGGTGTGGATAACTTTATTATAACACTCACTTTCCAGTTGACTACCTACAACACCTTGTTTAACAACCAACCTATACCACCTTGTTTAACAACCAACCTATACCAACTGGGCTATTAACGATGACCGGACATGCGCCATGCAATGTGAAATAAAATGGGGTTTAACGTCCTACTTTACCTCACCGATTGGACTAATAAAGACGGGCATGCGCAGGGCAGATTGGACTAATAAAGACGGGCATGCGCCAGGCAGATTGGACTAATAAAGACGGGCATGCGCCAGGCAGATTGGACTAATAAAGACGGGCATGCGCCAGGCAGATTGGACTAATAAAGACGGGCATGCGCCAGGCAGATTGGACTAATAAAGACGGGCATGCGCCAGGCAGATTGGACTAATAAAGACGGGCGCAATAAAGACGGGCATACGCCAGGCAGGGTGCTTTGGTGGAATTTCGAATTCTACTGTCAAGGGTTAACTTACGTGCAAGCCAATGTGTGCGAGGGAAAATATGGTTTCCGGGGGTAATCAGGGTTTCCGGGTGCAATCACGGTTCTTGTTACCAATAGAACGTAGCCAAACAGAACCGCGACACGGTAGCTGGCCCCACCATAGGTCGTTCATGGCTATACAAAAAACTACTTGGTGAAATTAGATGTTGGTTTTAAATTGGAAAAAGATCTTCAAGAAGAAAACCGGCTGACTATCGAGGCGGTATAATTAGGTATAGTTGAGTTTTACACGTGGTTCAGTTACATCAAAGATGATGCCTTGTGTCATATATATCATTGACAGTCATATCGTAGACAACAATGTCCAGTTCGAATTATGAATCATGTTTTCTGTTTGAGAGGAAATGGAATGGGGTTTAATGCCTCTTCAACACGACTTTGGGCAGAGATCTATTCTCAAAATATAGTAGATAGTCCTCTGTGTGCAGTAAAGACCCCTACGCGCAAGCCAATTATTGAAATAAAATTGAACCATATGTTAGTCCCGAAATGACCTAGTTTGTGTCGAGTTCTCACCCCTTTCTTTTTCAGTGTGCATATACATGAAAAATGATGACCGGGCTTGAACAATCCTAAAATTTCATTTCTACACCCCCCCCCCCCCCCGCGTCGCCGATATCCGAAAGTTTAAAAGAGTTTTATTTCATTTGCTTATCGTATCGTATTTTAAAGGAAGTCCATTTAACAGAGATGATAATAGGTTTGCTGTTTATAGATGTCACATGTGAAGACTATTTAATTTATAGGTAATAAGTGGGTAGAGAGAGTCAACATGTGTCGTTAACTAAATAAGGCGTTGGTTCATATCATGAATATTTATATCGTGTATACACGTCAACACTCCTACAGTTTAAAACAAGGTTAGTTTACGACAAGATCATTTGAAATCAAGACCAGTAGAAAACACGACAAGTTGAAAACAAGATCGTGAAAAGAGGACCAGTAGATAACAGGACCATTTGAAGACAAGACTAGCTGAAAACAAGACCTGTTCAAAACAGGACCATTTGAAGACAAGACTAGCTGAAAACAAGACCTGTTCAAAACAGGACCATTTGAAGACAAGACTAGCTGAAAACAAGACCTGTTCAAAACAGGACCATTTAAAGACAAGACTAGCTGAAAACAAGACCTGTTCAAAACAGGACCATTTAAAAACAAAACCAGCTGAAATGAAAACGAGTTTAATAATTGTGTTTATCTTAAATATTGAAAAATCTTGTAGCTATCTGGCTACGACTTTTGAACCCTCCAATTTACTAGGTTAAAACGTAAAATGTCAAGATAGGATTTAAAGGTTTCACATAGTGAGGATAATTTGTTTAGTTTGTAAATAATAAAACAATTTTATCCTGGTTATATTAACATTAAATTCACACTTCATAAACATCAAGCACAAGTCAAGTTTTATAAAATACAGGTACACCTTGTGTATTATCGACTAAACACTCTTGTTGGAAACGATCATTTCCAACTGTCAGGGAATCTTTAACGTGTGCCAATGGTATTACACGGGGCTTTGGCCATCCCATCCCAGCGACTAGACCTTCCGCCTTGCACCACTAAAAGGGGTAAAAGAGGTTGACAAATTCCAAGGAGCTTTCTCAGTCTATATGAAGATCGAATCGCCGCTGTACCCATAGAGTCGCCGTGGTTCCCAACCCTATAAACAATCGGTTAACATGTATACTGTGGCTAGTAGCTATAACAATCAGTTAACGTGTACTGAGGCTAGTAGCTATAACAATAGGTTAACGTGTGTACTGAGGCTAGTAGCTATAACAATCGGTTAACGTGTACTGTGGCCAGTAGCTATAACAATCGGTTAACGTGTACTGAGGCTAGTAGCATAAGGAGTGGATTAGCGCATCTGAAGTCAGTTAATGAGCTATTCACATTGTTTGAGAAATCTCTCCACAAAACACTTTAAAATGCTAAAATATTTTCACTGACATTTGATTCAATACTTGAAGCACTTCATAGATGTTCTGTTTGCATGTACGTGCAATCCTATCTATTTCCTACTATATCAAGCCATGCTGTAAATAAAGTAATGAATTCGTGTTTAAATGATGATCAATGGTATCGGGAAGAAAGTGGATAGTCAATTGTAGAATAGTCGCTCAAGCTTTAGTACCGCAGCAACAACTTTCAAGCCAGAGTAACTGTGGATGGACAACTGATACAAATGGTCTATCTATACGTTATTTGTCATCTCTACTCGAGGTACCCAAACATTGTAAACAACTCATCAAATGTGGTTGCAAGAAAGTCCGCAAGCAACCTTGTAAAAGCATGGAAGCTTTGTACTAGCGATGGAACTTGTTATCGAACGTGACCAATAAAAGAATGAACAATGGTATCGGGAAGAAAGTGGATAGTCAATTGTAGAATAGTCGCTCAAGCTTTAGTACCGCAGCAACAACTTTCAAGCCAGAGTAACTGTGGATGGACAACTGATACAAATGGTCTATCTA